CCTCCAACAATCTGGGTCCTCATTTTACCCACCTCGGAAGGATGGAAGGCTGAGTCAACCAGGATCGAATTCCTAGAGAGAGCAGTGAGTTAGCCTGCAGTACTGCATTCTAACCACTGCGCCAACACAGCCTTTCTTATTTATTTGTATCCTTTTTTTTTTTTTTACAAATAACTCAAGGTGGTGAACATATCCAGCACACCTTCCTTCTATTTTCTCCATCACAAGAACCCTGTGAGGTGAGAGACAGCAACTGGCTCAAGGTCACCCAGCTGGCTTTTATGCCTAAAGCAACACTTGAACTCACAGCCTCCTGCTTTCTAGCTTAGAACCTTAGCCTTTAGACCAAACAGGCTTTCTTGCATTTCACATCCCAGAATGGCAAGCATATTCTGGTCTATATACCATCTGAGCTCTGGAGTACAGGCATGTTATACACCTCTATGTCCCTCTTTTACCACTGTTAAAATTTCTACAGCCTTACTAGGCATACTTCACTCTATTTCCAAGCCTACACACATGCTAGAGGTCAGCTTGATTTCAAATGAAGCACACATGCAACATTGCCATCTGGGTCACTGCCCTGTTCCCAAATGTTCCTTGTTGTTAAAAGGGAAAAAAGCTAAGACTCTGTGGCTTCTCTGCTTAGTATTTTTGTTTGCTTGGTTTTGAGAGAGCCCATGTGGATTTTTGATTTATAGCTCAAGAAAGACCCAAGCTCTGACCAAGCATTTTACCTTGTTGGTTTACCCCAAGGTACTTCTCAGTAACTCCCTATTTTGCTAACCTCTGAGTCCAATTCATGAATGAGCCTTTATCTTAATTAAACATGATGGGCTGCAATCAGCACAATTAAGATGAGGAGCCAACAATGCACATTTGCAGGAACATCTTTCAATCTACTGACAATATTCTTCTCTATTGTCTTTTTTACTTATTTTGGTATAGGGTTAATAGGTAGTCCTCAGATTGTGACCACTCATTTGATGATGGCTCAATGATGCTGAACAAGGGGAGTTACAAACTGTCTTCAAAGTTGCAGCCTTCATAACTGCCCCACATTCATGTGACCATGATTCAGGCACTTGGCAATTAGTTCATATTTATGCCAGTTGCAATCCACATCACATGATCACAATTTGTAACCTCCCCTGCTGGTTTCCCAAAAGCAAAGCCAGGAGGAAAGCCAGCAGGAAGTCACAAGTCTTGCCGCTTTTTTGTTTACCCACCTGTACTCCATATCGTCTGCCCGTGGCACCCATCAGCCCTCCTATAGCTCTCACTCACAGGCTTGTTGCCTTGATTCCCACCTCTACTTATGTCCCAGTCAAGCAAAGTCTTCGCTTAATGACTCATTTGGTCCTTTGGTTTTGACACAAATGGGACTGCTAGGACTGCCATTGCTAAGCAGCACAGTCCCGTAACATTGCACTTTATGACCACATTGACTTAGCAATGGAAATTCCAATCCTAATTGCTGTCATAACCCGAGGATGTCTAATTTACTCTAAATATGTCAGAAGCCTAAAAGGCAAAGACACCTCTTCCTCCTCGCAGATAATTCAGCAACTACTAGGAAAGTTTCAAAATGTTGTCCAATGGCCATTACACATTATGCAATCAAAATTAGATTACTATGGTGTATTGTTGTATTTAAATCAATGCTAATAATAAAGATGCCTGTATGGAAGTAGCTCTGATTATGTAGCCATGATTGCCATCTTGACTTTTTTGACCTCCCTGGCCACACTGAAAGGAAAACAAGAGTTATGCTGGGTAGCAGAAAGGTCCTTGCTAAAAAAATCAGCTCTGAAGGACTTGAACCTTGATGAGGAAACCCCATGATCAGAGTCCTTATGCAATGGCATTTGGGTATAAATTCCTAAAAGGAATAATCAGATATAAACTTGACCAAACCCAAACTCCATTTTCTGATGAAAAAAACTTTTTGGGGTTTGATTCTATATTTTAAAATCAGTGACTGTTTAAATAATATTAGTATGTGAAAGTGTAGCTGTTGATATGCTTAGTATTTAAAATATCTTGCAAATAAAGTACCCTTTTCTCCTCACACAATTTAATGATATTAACCCTCATGAGCCTCTGAAACAATGTGGCCACAGGTTTTTTGGCAAATCTGCATCTAGTGTAACATAACATAGAACCATTTGTTTGCATTATCCATAAAACTGTCCCCTTTTATACAATTAAATTCAGCATACTGTTTTCTTTCCTCACCTCACACATACAGAGGCTCACAAAAGACAAGGCACTCTAATTATCTAATTGTTTGTTCTGTGTTATTACTGTAAGGTGTAATTACAGCTGCCAATGTTAATTACTACCATTTTTTTTCTCTTAGCTTACAATGTTCTTTCCAGACCTATCTACATGAAAAAAAATAAAAACCTCACTTCTAAATACTGAAGAAGTATAAAGCTAGTTGGTAAAAGCCTCTCTAGGTACTGAACTACAGCTGTTAAGTTTTGAAATGAACAATATTATGGGCCTTTTTCACACACAGGCACATTGCAATTAATTGGGCTGTTGGAAGTTAAAACCCACCCCACTCCTAGAAAAATGAAATATTTTAGGATGTACTAAAAAGACAGAATATTTCCCCCTAAAAGGGAGGCAGAAACTCATTCCCCCCACCTTTGTCAAAGGGCCATCCCATCTGCAACACAAAGGACCCATCTAGCAACAGAAACTCCCCACATGGCACCTGGGAAGATTACATCAGCCTGCAAGGCTAGCTATGACCTCTGACAGCAACCAATCAGGATACTCTTCCTGTGCCCCAGGAAGTTCAAAGCCAGAGAGGGTACAAAACCCAGGGACTCTCAGCATCTCTTCCCTTTTTCTGCTCAGGAACTCAAGCCATGTGATCCTGCCCACCATTAAACCATCTTTCCAAGCAGTCTCCATGTTTCCAGTGACTTTTTCCCCACTTGGAACTGAACCCAGAAGGACATTTCTTCCAACAGGGAAAAAAGTAGTATTTTTTTTAAATACTTCATTTCTTGCAACTCCAAAACAAATAACAAGTTGATCCTGTAATCTATTGTACACAGATAACGTACAATAGTTATGACACACTTCTATTTTGATGAATTGATTTCAATTTTAAATCCAGGATTAAAACTTAAATGTCCTTGAAAACCTGTGTAGGAAGCCCCCCATCCCACCCCAGAGAATGAAATATTTTTGGGAATATTAAAAGAGGCAGAATATTATATTTCCCCAAAGGAGAAATGGAGAAACATGCTCTTAACAAAGGCAGAAAGCAGCCCCAACAGTCTCCAGCAGATGCCTGAAGTCTTTAGAGATGGATAAGAAATCCAGGCCAGCCTATTCACAAACAAAACACTTTCAGCTCCAATCGATAGGATTAAAATTTACATCCCCCACCCAAATTCTAAGAACAGGACATGACCTTCAGGACATAATAGGATTGACTACCAAAATTAGAATAGCAAAAGACACCAGGTCACTACATTGCACAACCCCTGCAGCATCTCAGAACGCTATAAAAATCCATATACTCATCAAACCAATTTGTCAGCTGTCCCAGAACTACATGCTGTTGTTGGTTCTACTCATCAATAAACCCTTCTTTCCAATCAGCCTCCATTTTATTTCCAGCATCTTTTTCCCAGCTTGGAACCAGACAGGATTTTTAATTCCAACACTTGAGTCCATTGGTTGAAAACAATCAGTTTCCAATTCTGATGATAAGCCTTTTGTATATTTGTGATACTTTGTGTTAAATGTTGATGGTCGGAGGGTACTATTTGATGGTGTCTCAGGCATGAGGTAGCTAACCTCTGAACTAGAGAACACACTTAGGGAATGGATAGAATGCTGAAGGCTCAACTGAAAAAAAATGGCATAATTTGACAAAGCGAGGGAACAACACCTTGAAATGCAAAATATTATAGCTTATAGAATTGTGAATGAGAGTGACTAATTGCAGCATTCCCCAACATGTCCACTTCAGACATGTTGGCTTTACACTCTCAGAATGTTTGAGGTTGGAGGAGGCTTTGGCCATGTCAACCACTGAACAGAACAAAATAACAGCGTTGGAAGGGACCTTGGAGGTCTTCTAGTCCAATCCCCTGCTCAAGCAGGAGACCCTATCCCATTTCACACAAATGGCTGTCCGGTCTCTTTTAAAAGATGACTCCCATCATCACAAAAACTTTCTGCACAGCACAGAGGGTCTGGCCAGGGATGGGAAGGACAGTTGGAGCCTAAGGCTGGAAGAGATCTGGGCGGAAAAAGGAAAGTAACTTGGAAGTATTCCAATTAAAGTGGGCAGGCTTGGGAGATGGAAGCCCCTTGTGCTTAAAGGCCTTTTGGAACTGAAGAAAGCAGGACCCGGGTTGCACAATTGCACCCTGAACTGCAGCTCGAATGTCAGTCAGAAAACTGGCTCATTCCTCTTGGTCACCTTGAGGGACAGCATTGTTTAAAAAGCTTTAAAAATTCCTCAGGAAAAGTTACAAAAAGCATCCATTGCTTTTACTACTTTGGCAAAAGGGAAGGACAGACACAGCAGCAGCCTAAGAAAAGCAAAGTAATTTCTCTCCTTCAATTTGTTTGTTTCTCTCAGCAACTTTCTCTTTTCAGGATGAAGAAACTCAGAAGTAGCCGCTTCAGTCGGGCCTGAAAACAAATCTTAACGGCATCTCTAAATCAGGGGTTTTCAACCTCGGAAACTTTAAACCTGTCGGACTTCAACTCCCAGAATTCCACAGCCAGCTTTGCTTTTCTGGCTGGATTCTGGGAGTTGAAGTCCGCCAGGCTTAAAGTTGCCGAAGTTGAAGACGCCTGCTCTAAATTTCTCTTTTCGGTGTACTTCTAGGTTCTCTTCTGACGGAAGCCGGAAGCTGCGCGCCGGAAGCGAGCGTCAGCTGGAGGGGCGGGTCAAGTGGAGCGGGAGGGAGGGAGGGGGAGAGGCGCTCGCTCCAGCGCGGGGGGCCATTTTAGTGCTTGCGCGGCGGCGGCAGCAGCATCGGCAGCCAAGCGGAGGTCGCGGAGCTTCAAGCCGAGCCCTTTCCGGGGAGGCGGCAGGAACGGTGCCGCCCCCTCCCCGTTTTCCTCCTCTGCGCCCGGGGAGCGGCTGGCCCTGGGTAGCCCTGAGGGTCGCTCCTTCGCCTTGGCAGCGAAGCCGCTTTTGCCCGGTCCTCCGCAGAGGAGAGTCGCGCCTCACCTGGAGCCCCCCCTTTCCCTTCCCTTCCCTTCCCTTTCTCGGTTTCCCTCGCTTGTTCCACCGCGCGGCCTGGCTGTGCGGCCGCTGCCCCCTCTTCCCTCCCTCCGGTGCGTGTGCACGCGTGTCAGTGTGAATGCGTGACGCTTCCTCCGCTGGGCTCTTTCCTTCCTTCGGGAGGGCCGAAGCTGTCGCTGCCGCCGGAGACTTGGCGCCAAGTTCCCCAGAGAGTTTTCCTGGGAAGAGGCGGAGAGGCGGGTCCGGGCGGCCGGGAACCGAACTGGAGTGAACTCCCCGGGGCTCTTGGCGTGTCTTGGGGCGGCGGCGGCGGCGGCGGCGGCGGAGGAGTGCCGGGCGCGGAATGGGCCTCTAGGCTTTCTGGGCGAACAATGGCCTTCCAGAGGGGCGCCGGGAACTCCCCGCGCCTGGCCGCTTTTCCCGGGGCTCCCAAGTCAGGCGTGCCTCTCCGCCCAGGCGGTCTGGGCTCGTGGTAGGGCTCGGCATCCCGCGAGTTGAGGGGCGGCCGGGGCTTTTCTCCCACCAGGCGCCCGCCGGGCTTTCTGTGCGGCTTCTGCCTGTTGGAGGCGGGGAAGCGCCCCGGGTGGAAGCAGCGACGATACAGGTTGTCCTGGAGCCGCTTGGCTGCGTCTCCCGGGGAAGCCGCGTGGCCCGTCCTCTTTTTTTCCCTCCGCCTGCTTTCTTGGATGTGATGGAACTCATGTTCGCCGAGTGGGAAGACGGGGAAAGGTTTTCCTTCGAGGACTCGGACCGCTTTGAGGAAGACTCGCTTTGCTCCTTCATCTCTGAGGCGGAGAGCCTGTGCCAGAACTGGAGAGGATGGCGGAAACAGTCAGCCGGACCCAACTCCCCCACGGTCAAAATGAAAGGTGAGGAGGACGCTTAGCGCGGGCTGGGCTGGGCTGACCGGAGCGGGGATGGGGCGCACAAAGCTCCTGGCTAACCCGCCTAACCCCTTAGGACAGGGGCCTCCAACCTTGGCAACTTTAAGCCTGGCGGACTTCAACTCCCAGAATTTGCTTTTTCAACTCCCAGCTTTGCTGGCTGGGGAATTCTGGGAGTTGAAGTCCGCCAGGCTTAAAGTTGCCAAGGTTGGAGGCCCCTGCCTTAGGACGATGGTCAGAAGGGGGGAAAATAAGTTTCTCTAAGTCAAATCGAAGTTGAGGAAGGTGACTGCATAGCAAGAAATGGGCTACACAAGTGTGCATAGTTTTCTACTTACAGAGGCAGTTAACTAGAACCAGATAAACCATGAGGAGCTCAGGTGCTCCTAAATTACTCCTCGGCTTTCATCTTTTGCCATGCAGACTGGGTTGCTGGGGTTTGTAGCATTTTGCTGCCTGGACTAGCATATTTACCCATCGAAAGTCTTCCTTTAAAGAAAGTTTTGGATCCCTTGGTTTGGCTTAATTGTCTTCATGGGTTTAATTAGTATTATATTGCCTGGTTCAAATTATTACAGAGAGGGAACACAAACATGATATAATGCATCACAAGTTAAGTAGGGAGGAACAGGCTCAGGCTCAACCCATCCAAGACTGAGTGGCTGTGGTTTCCGACGTCCCGATATAGTCAGTTGACGCCATCACTGACTATTGGGGGCGAATCATTGGCCCCCACGGAGAGGGCTCGCAACTTGGGCGTCCTCCTGGACTCACGGCTGTCTTTAGAAGAGCACTTGACGGCCGTGACCGGGAGGATTTTTCATCAGGTTCGCCTGATTCGCCAGTTGCGTCCCTTTCTGGATCGGGACTCTTTACGCACGGTCACTCATGCCCTTGTCACCTCCCGCCTGGACTATTGCAACGCTCTCTACATGGGGCTCCCCTTGAGGAGCACCCGGAGGCTCCAACTGGCGCAGAGTGCGGCCGCGCGGGTGGTAATGAGAGCGACATGGCGCTCCCATGTGACACCTCTCCTGCGCGAGCTGCACTGGCTCCCGGTGGTCTTCCGGGTGCGCTTCAAGGTTTTGGTTACCACCTTTAAAGCGCTCCATGGCTTAGGACCCGGGTACTTGCGGGACCGCCTACTACCACCAATAGCCTCCCACCGGCCGGTACGCTCCCATAGAGAGGGGCTCCTCCGGGTGCCGTCAGCCAAACAATGCCGACTGGCGGCCCCCAGGGGGAGAGCCTTCTCTGTGGGGGCACCTACTATCTGGAACGAGCTCCCCCCAGAGATACGGAGGATCCCGGATCTGCGCACCTTCCGCCGCGCCTTAAAGACCTTACTATTTCACCAGGCCGGCCTGGCCTAATTTCCCCCCTCTTTTATAAAAGATTTTTAAAATTTTAAATATTTTTTAGTATTTATATATTCAATTTTAAATTGGTTTTAAAAGTTTGGGGTTTTAAATTTGTCGGGGCCAAAATTATTTAATTTGATTTTATTCTATTTTTTAAATTTTGTATTGTATGTGTTTTTATTGTTTGGCTGTGAACCGCCCTGAGTCCTTCGGGAGTAGGGCGGTATAGAAATCTAATAAATAATAATAAAATAATAATAATAAAAAGTAGTTGAACCATTTATCAGTACTTAAAGGTGAAAAAAAATGTCCTTGGGATGTTGCAATTTAAGAGCACCACATGATTGACTCAATGTAGCATCTGTTCATCTTAACCGCAATTTACCAAACATTTTATCTGGGTTCAGAAACTGAGCAGGGTTGGTCCTCCATGGAATACTATTGTTGTAGTATTGGAAAGTTGAAGAAACATCCTGGGTTGAAGGAAGTAACAAACTATTTTTGTATTGTTGCTGAGAAAAATACATGGATGTGTTTTTGACATCAGCTGGGATTAGCCTTGGCTTTATTTTATAGCCAGCTGTTCTTGCTTCTGTTGAAATTATATGAATAACCTGTAGGTGCTCTAAACATAAGTGTAATATCAATAGTAGAAGCACTATTGATGGAAGAAAAGTGCATCTGTACACTATAAGAATTTGTATGCCGTTTGATCTGTGAAGTATTTCTTTTGGAAAACAGAGTTTGGGAAAACATTCACATTACTTTTGTATTCAGGTTTATTTATTTTAAGCTATTTTAGATTAGTAAACATGCAATCTCATGCAATGTAGTCATAACCTGCCTTTGCTCCCTGATATGCACAATAATTTTGTGCCTTCAAGTCAGTCTTGACTCCTGGCAACTGCCTGAACAAGTTCCTGCAGTTTTCTTGGCCACATACTCCAAGGTTTTGCATGTCCTCCTAGGGCTGAGAGAGACGAGTTGGCCCAAAATCACCCACAGAGCTTCATATCTAAACTAAGATTGGAACTACAGCCTCCCTGATTTTAGCTTGGTGCCTTTAATCATTGCACCAAAGCAGTGGTAGAAATATAAGGAAATACTTTTGTAGTGTTACAAGTACGTTTATGTGTGTATTTGTATGTATATATACAAACACAGGTAGATAACTTCTATAAATATTTTATTAGTGGCATGTGAAACTGACACTAATATTTTTGAATCTTATGATCAATACCGATAGCTGAGTAAGATGAAAGATCAGCTGTATGAGATTTATAACTATGATTTAATCCTTAAATCATGTAAGACACTATCCTCTTAAAGCTACTCAGCAGCAGATGCTGTTACTCTTAAAAGCATTAAAGAAGATTGTGAATATGTCCAATCAGATTATTAAACATGCATTTTTTGCAGGGGGTGCCAATATGAAATGTATTGAAGCCAGAAGAATTAAGATTGTTTTTAAATAAAATATTCCATTGTAGTTTAATAATCCATTCCACTTCACATACTTATTTTTTCTCTTGAGGGAAATAGCTTAATTGCATGATTTGAACATGTGTTGGAATGAAAAACACAAAAACAAAATACAGGATAAAAGTCAGTTTTGAGAAAAGCCAGGATAGCACCAGTGTTCTTCAAGAGGGTACAGCTAAATTGCAATATTTAATGAGAGGAGAAAATTAAAAAGTAATCCTACTGTTTTCAGTTGACCCAGAGCACCCTAGTATTGGAAATCCCTCCCACTTCAATATATAAATGCTTGCCTAATTTTTTAAAACTATTAATTTTTATTTCCTAAGTTATATTTAATGTTTTAACATTAGGTTTGTTTTTAAATAACAGGCTTTTTATTATAAAAATGTAGAAGTGCGTTAAAGTAACTTTCTTCAAAAATTTAAAGGATAAAGCTTAATTTGTGTTCTAAATGTATTTTTTATCAGGTTCTGATTATTCTTTTGAGTATAGATATTTAGTGTGAAAAAAATACATCAAATGCTGAGTTTTCCAATTATTTGTTTCAAAGTATTTTTATACTATCCTAAAATGCCAGTGTTTGTACATATAATATAAACATTTTAAGAATGTTTAAGAGAAAAGAAACAAAATAAGATTTAGAGTATTGTGAGCTGAGCTGTAAAGGGAAAGCAACATGACTGAACACATCTGTGAAAACAAACAAAATCTGAAATTCTGGAATTCATCACAGATCCTGCAGAATATTGTGCATTTTTAAACTCCCTTCTGAAGTAAGAGAGTAAAAACAAGATTCAATAAAATTGTCAATATGATGTTTATACTGGCATTGATTGCATACTAAAAATAAATTTAACAGAAACTAAGAATTTATCCAAAGCTGTCAAGTAGAAATTCACATTTTTTTCTTTTGAAGTTCTTACAGTGGGTTTTCTTTTATGTTTTTTCCCCTGAGGACTAAAATAGTAATTTTTTTAACTTGACAGCAATTTGTGCTAGGCAGAAATTGACAATTTAATGTATGACTTGACAGTGGTCTTCTCTGTGTCTGTAAACAGGGAGCATAAATACCATTATAAGTAGAATATATCATAGTAAGAAGTGGCACATGGGAAATGTTGGGAATGATTTTTTTAAAATAACAGACTTAGCTAACGTTAAATTATATTAAACCTTTTTTATTATGATTTTCTATATCCAGATATAACATATAAAATGAATTAATAAATGGCTTTGGCTAATGAAATCAATTGTTTGATTTTAAATCAAGTTGTTATTGGCATATAGAATCATGAATTTGTGTTTGGATATAAATAGTAGGAGCAGAGAAGTTTTGTATGCCAGTATTACTCTATTATTTTATCTGCCTCAAATTTGTTGTGTTATTTTACTCTGGCCACCCTCCAAAAGAAAGCACAATTAAATTGCTCCAATGATAAAATTTGCTGTCAGTGGAACTTTGCCTATATTATTTCTATGATCTTTTTCATTGTAGTATAAGAGTCAACCAGTGCTTAGCTTTGCACCAAATAATAAAGCTCTTTGTATGTTAAGAGGACTGAAGTAGTTGAAAGCCTTATTAGGAATGCATATTTATAGTATATCTTAAGTCTAAAATACTCACTTGAGAATCACAGCAAAAATAGCAATATTGTAGAGAAATATTTATCTTCCAAAAATAATTTTCAAACATTTATATGGGGAAGGGCAAGATAAGTGATATATACATGGAATAAATACATAAATAAAAATACATATTGCTGCCTTAATGACAAGGTGGTGAAATTAAGCTACCATTACTACCATTGGTGGTAGCAATGGTAGCTTAATTTCCCACAAACTATTTGGGTTAAATGCCTAATGACTGTAATGTCTGACACAATTTAACTGCTTTTTGACATGATCCTAAGAGTGAAAGTCCCAGAAGTGCCTTTCAAAAACCAACTAAACTTTCTTTGTTTTTTCCTTGAAGTCTTTGCTTCTAATCCAAGAAGTTTCTTCAGCTTCTTGGATGAGAAGTGAAGGATCTTCAAACAAAAAAAGGAAGGAAGTCCAGTTGCCTTTTGAAAAGCACTTTTGGGACAACCATGACCTGGATGGAGATTCTCAGTCATCCAGGCCATGATTGTCCCAAAAGTGCTTTTCAGCTGAAAAGTTCATCAAGAAGCTTTCAGTTTGCTGGGTGCTATTGGCACATAACACTTTCAGATCAATTGCCAGTTAATGAAATCTGTATTATTGATACACCATGACACTTAAAATGTGTTCCTTTTTCTAAGCAAGTATCCCCACTATAATTTCAGAAAGGTTAAAAGCAGAAATATCACTTAGAAATAATGCTAGAAATAACAGAGCAGCTAAAGTTGCTACCATATATTACAAATATATTTCAAGCATTGTGCTGAACTGCTTTCTTTGAATTCAGCCATAGTGCCCCAGAAATACAAGCTTGACATGTTAGAAAAACAGAAGAGTATTTTGGGACTGAGTGAAAGGGTATTTGAATATTTCAATAAATCTTATTTTGCTTTCAGATAAAAGCATTCATATGGGGTATTACATCTTTTGTTGATAGAAATTTGCTCTACTGAGTTGATGGATTTTGATGGCTAACATCAGATGGAGCAATATGAGGAAGCACTTGCTGATTAAAGTTTTGATATTAATATTGTCTACCACTTAACATTTATTGATATGGAAATTTTTTCCCCACAGGTTTTAAAACTCTGAAAAAAGCATTGGTGCATAGAATTGCGCTCATTTTGAAAGCAGATGATAGCTTTGCCAATTCTCTTATTGCACATTGTTAAAAATTCTTCTTTACCCCACAGAAAAAAGAAGAGCTTGCAAGTAATGAAATGGGAGGATAATGATGAGGATAAGGCTAATAGTTCAAAGATGAAAAAAAGCACTGATAGCTATTGCTGAGAGTTTTAGAGCCAAACAGTTTTAGAAAGAAGTGCAAGAATAATGAATTGCTGTTTGCAAAGGCATCACTAAGGCTTGTGAAACCTTGCAAAATAACCCATCTTGTTTCCTTTCAGGGTAAGCAACATTACGCAGTGTGCAAAAAACAAGAAAGAAATAAAAAGATACAAATAAGGGACAAAGGAAGTTAAACTAAAATTAGTTTATTCCACGTGCTGTATCTGCATACCCTTCTATTTTTCTTCTATGTCAACACATTGCTTCATACATTACTTTTTTCTTTAAACTTCTCTTTTTGAGAATTTCAAGAGTTTTGCTCAAATACAAATTTGTCTTCTCTCCACCACTTCATTATTTCATGTATTTTACAGTGTGATTCTCATTTGTTTTCCCTGTCTGACCCACCTCAAACATTTCACCCTCTTTTTTCCCCAATCTACATTCATTCATTACCCAGTCATTCTAGTAGGGAAATTCAAAACAGAGAAGAAACAGACTTACTCATATGAACAATACATAATTAGAAAATTTATCAAAGTGATATATTACATTTATATAATTTTATTGATTATTCTATTTATGCTCTTATAATGTTTTCATGGTCCCTCCAACAAATATAATGGGCAATGGATTCATTGCAAGGCAGTAATGGCCTACCCAATCAAAACATTTTCTTGGATGGCATATTCCCTATCTATTCAAGATCTTTTATTTTTAATATCTGCTTTGCATATAGATAGGGAGACAGGCCAAAAATGGAAGTCTGGAATCCAAAAATTGAGAAGGCTGGAAAGACTAAAGAAATGTGTTCAGAATTGACAAATGGCATAGGTATATACTGTATATATTTTTTTTAATGAAAATTTTTATTAAACACATATTAAAACATTGGACACTGGCATTATCTTTGCCATACATACTAAAATAAAAGATAAATATCATATGTACCTTACTACTTATATACATTTGGTCTATTTACATATATAAAGACATCATTCTTCTATCTATATTACTTATACATTTGTCTTATCCACTTTCATGTAATTTCACTAATTACATACATAACCTTAGTTCTCCATTCTATGAATTCTACTCAGTTCATACTTTTCGTCCCTCTTTTCCGTTCCAACCATTGATAATTTTTTTTTTTTTATTTGATTTATATGCCGCCCTTCTCCGGAGACTCAGGGCGGCTTACAATGTGCTAAGCAATAGCACATTGCTTAGCAAATTTGTTCCATATTTCATAGTATTCTGACTCGCTTTTATTTTTCAATTCCAGCGTTAATCTATCCATTTCCGCGCATGTCAAAATTTTTTTAATCATTTCATCATCTTGGGGGATTTCCTTATTTTTCCAATTTTGGCCAAAGATCATTCTTGCTGCTGTTATAATACTGTATGTATTATTAAGTAAATTACCCCTTTACTATATTTCCCATTTATAATTCTCAATAGGAATAGTTCTGGTTTATATTCTATTTCTTCTCCAGTTATTTCTGCCAGTTCCTTTTCTTTTTTTACATGACCACCACATATGGTAGTACGTGCCTGATTCGTGGTTGCATTTCCAACATTTTGGTGATGGGTATATAAATTCTAAGACATAAGATGCCTTGGATCTTTCATACTAGATGTAGTATGAAAGTTATCATTGGGCTTGCATTGTTCCCTATAGTCTTACTTTACACATTCCTGATACAATAGTAATTTTCTTTTGACAAATCTGGTGTTCAGAGCTATATTAAGGTGTGGTAGTTGTGTTCCGACTTTCCTCACATCTTGGACAGGCTGTGCTTTTTTTTTTCTTCTCTTCATAAATCCTCTGTGTTGTTCCTGAAGATTGCTTCAAACATCTCTGCGTATTCTGTTTTTTTCCGGGGTGGCTACTTCTGGTCATGTAATTACTGTAGGGGCTCTAAGTGGCTAGATTTATCCTCTGCTTTATATAGGGTACCTTGGTTTTCCATTTCATTTCTTTGCTTGGAGCCTGAATGTTCTATTGCAGCAAGCTCCTATTTCTCTTTCCACTGAAAATGTAGTTTCGTAGGAGTTGTTTTTGTTTGGCTCTTGGCAAACAGCATTTTCGTGTGTGGTTCCTTGATAAGTGAGGCATGTATAGCAGAGATTGTGGCTACAGTATATCTGCTGTGTGTCCTGATTAGTTCATAGTTATCCATGTTGTCCAAATCATTTTGTAGGCCACTGATAACAGGAAAGCAATTAAATGTGATTTGAAAAACCGCATATACTGACTTCCCCCTTCTTTTAGACATGGTAGATCTTTTCAGAATTGTCCAGGATTGACTGCTCATCCTTCTTGTAGTGTGACAACTTGTTCCTTTCCACAGGAGCTGCTGAGATTGTTGGTTTTTTAAAAACACATTTTTAATTGATAAAATACCAGTAATCTGAACCTCATTCCTTCCCCTCTGCCTCATCCTGGTTTAAATCCCACACCAGTCTAGCCACTTTATGCACTTGATAAAGTGAGCTGCAGCTTGTGAGAGATTATGCTTTTAAATTAAAGTTAGTAAAAGGGCTATCAGACTTCTTTTATTTGTTTGCACCATAGATAAACACAACTGTCCTACAGGTCCAACTAACTAGCCTGTTGAACCTGAAAGCTAAAAATAAAATTTGCTATGTATTCCAGTGTGTTTATTATCTCTGCTAAAAAAAAAAGTCTGCCAACAATAAGGAAGAAATGATTTGGCTGACTTGTTTCACTTGTTCCCATTTATGTCCTTTGAAGCAGCACAGCTTCATCTGTTTCAAAACTCCTCCTCTACAAGTTCATTGAATACCCTGGCCCTACTTTCTACCCTGGTGTACCTACTTGAGAAGTACTACTACCACTGCCAGTCTTAGGGGGTTACATCACCTGTCATTCTCCTAATCTGGGTCTGAGAATGGTAGAATTCCTATGTATGTTTCCTTTTCAGGGAATAAAATGCAAAACTGGAAGGGAAGATGAAATCATTTCTATAATGCATGTTCCTAAGGTTGTAGCATAAAGATGTATGTCTGTAGATTTTAAGGAGATAAATTGGTTTAATAAAAAACCAAAAAAATAAAACTAAATACTGGAATTTGATTTGCAAAAATGCATTGGTTTTCTTAGTAAACCATAAGATTATGCTGATCCCTGGCTTTCAAGTAATACATCAGCTCTAAAGAAATTAATAAAGTCAATCGGAAGGCTAAAATTATACAGAATGTTCTATATGTACAGAAAAGAAAAAATTAGATAGGATAAGACTTCTAGTACACCCAAACCTAAATAAATTAAAATTTAGCACAGCATCTGATTAAATTTGTTATCTGTACTTAGAAATAATATTTAGATTTTTCAAAATATTTTTCTCTTTAGGAGAGAGCCTTGTATCTGCTCTCTAACTAGATTGATTTTAGCTTTTTTTATGTTACAGCAACAGAATATTATCTGGATCTTTTGAAAGAAGACAAGCATTAAATACTTATATAAAATGGCTATTTCTCAGCATTCAAGACTGATTAGTAAATGCTAACTGAAAAAGGAAAAATTAATACTACATTTGGTAATTAGTTTCACAGTTGGGGAGTAATTGACAGTATGATTGATTAATGTAAAAGCATATTCTAATTTTTATTTTTTCCTTAGTATGTCTTGTGTTGCTTAGTATGTCTTGTGTTGCTTTAGTAGGAGGTTGAGTAAACAGACTTAAACGTTTTGTGTCTCTGTGTAAGACAATTTGTTGTTTTTATGCCCCGTAGAATGATGTTCAAAATCACAGTGATTTTATGACATTATACTATTATAGTATTGGTTTTTAGCAAGTGGTTTATTGAATACAAAAGGGACTATTCAATACTTTCTCTTGACATCTTAATCTTTATGAACACTAGAGCTGCTTCTTATAGTTTCTTGGAAAATAGTAAAAAGTTATTTTACACTTAGAAAAGCCAGGAAGTTTTTTTCTTTCTTTCTCTTTAGTTCTTAATGATAAAATTCTGCAGAATTCAGATAATTTGCCCGATACTCTTCATTCCTTTAGATGGGTCCGTGATCCCCTTGGTGGAACTGTCAGCAAAGCAGGTGGCATTTCACATTCCATTTGAAGTAGTGGAAAAAGTCTACCCACCTGTGCCGGAGCAACTGCAGCTTCGCATTGCCTTTTGGAGCTTTCCAGAGAATGAAGAAGACATCAGGTAATATCCCTTATTATTTTCTTTAAAATGGACTTCTTGCAAAAAAGGAGCAAGCTTTTTGGTTTTTCCAAACTCACGTTTAGTGTGGAAATTGGATAATTAATTAAATAAATTGAGCATAATGAAAAATCTGAAATTTGAATTTAATAAGCTGAAATACAGGAAATTTTACATTTGTGAGAATGCTCCATAGGTGGCATTTAGCACCTGCAAGATTATCAAAGATGTTCCCCAATGTGCACCCAAATTGTTGGAAATGCGGTCAAGGTCAGGGCACCTTCTTTCACATGTGGTGGACATGCCCCGAAGCAAAAAGATACTGGAGCAAAATTCGGAGATGGTTGAAAGACATACTCAAAGAAGAAATTGATTTGAATCCAGAAATATTTCTCCTGGGAATGGTAAAGAAAGGGCATGGAAAGGAAAAGGTCCACCTCCTAATACACATAACTACAGCTGCCAGACTGGCATACGCTCAATACTGGAAAAAGAAAGACCTACCACCAGACGACCTTATAATTAGCAAAATATTAGAGTGTGCAGAGACAAGTAAATTAACGCACGAGATAAGTGATGATGAAAACTCAGATTATGATACTGTGTGGGGAAGATGGTACGAATGGATAAATGATAGAATCAAGGAAGGAGTTAAAGGTGCAGAAATTAATTAGAAATGTATAGTATAAATGACACCAGATACTTTTTCATGTATATATGTACAAACACTGCGAATCCGATGTCAAACAAAATTGTTATTATATTTTATCTGTCTTAAAAAAAAATCAATAAAGTGTGTGTAAATAAAAAAAAAAAGAAAAATCTGAAATTTGAATTTAATAAGCTGAAATACAGGAAATTTTACATCTGTGAGATGAAAAGCTTTTGATACACAACTTTTGTGGTGAACAGTTATGCTGTAAGCTGTCCAAAGTTGTTTGAAATGAGATGGGCGGCCAATAAATAAACGGTGTAAATCTGTCTTTTTAAAGGACATACTATTTAATCAGGATTTAGACTTATGTGACTATTTTAATCTCTGTATTGATGCAAAGGGCCTAATTTGTATGAACAGAAAACTGCTAAATCCAATGATTATTATTTTTTTTTAAAGAAATTACAATTCTGTAGCCTGTCCAGTTCAAGGTCTGGTTGATTTGTATAGTGATCCATGTAGACAAATAGTTAAATCAGCCCAGCTTTCCAGACCCTCCTGGGTCTTCCTTACACTGGCAGCCGGACATTTTAAAGTAGGTGGGGGAGATCTAATGTCATTTCTCTCCTTTGTTATAGTCTGTGTTGGTCCCCCATTTTGGGGGACTATTGCTATACTCTGCAAACTCCAGGAACTGTGAATTTGAGCTGTATGAGTTGGGTCTCTTATAGCTAAATTTCTTCTACGTTTGTTTCTCCAGCTGCCAAAGCTTTTCTTTATTCCCTCACTCCTAGTGGAGGAGTTTTCAACAATATCATATAGTGTATACATGCACACACGTATATAGCAGTGGTGGGATTCAGCTGGTTCTGTCCAAATTGTGCGAACCGGTAGTGGCGACTGCGGGAGGCTGTGCACATGCGCAGAGGTGGTGTGTGTGAGTGAAGTGAGCGCGTGCACGAGTGCATTCATATTTGCGAACCGGTAGGGAAGGTAAGTGAATCCCACCTCTGGTACATAGCTCGTTGTTGCTGATTCTTTTCTCCCATAGCACCTTTATTATCCCTTTTCCCACTCTTATTCTTTTACCTCTTAACATTTTTTCCCCATCTCTTGAAGATATCTTCTGTCTTTTGATATTCTCAAATCAATTCCACCATTGCTCTCTGCTCTTGAGGTCAGCAAGCAAATTCTCCATTTGAAACAGCTGCCTTTTTAAAGAGAAAAGCTCCCTTTTCTTTTCTTATGCTATTAGGGGAAAGGAAGCAGGAAGGGTTTTGAACTCCACAGCTATTCTCTCACAATACATTAGGTACATGGAACTTTTTTGGGGAGAAGGCTAAGATATAAATGTCTTTAACTGCATATTAACACGTCTGCTTTTCATACCTAGTTAATAACCAACCCATAATATATCCATTCTCTTGTAAAATGAACAGATATGTATAACTTTGACCTAAACTCCATAGCTTTCAATCTACCATTGTCTGTGTTTTAATTTTAAAAAATTAGACCACATGTAACAGTCTTGAGTTGTATATGCTTTTCTATTTTGTCTAAAAAAGAAACCGTTTTGTAGCTTTAATAGCTGTATAGAAGAGGCAATTTGACATTGCAAATTGTGACCTGCAATTAAGAACCTGTACATGATGAAATTACCTCTACAGTTAATGTAGCCTTTTTTCACTATGACATAATCTACTCTTTGAAATCTATCCATAATTTCTTCATTGTCTGGAATGGAATGCACTGTTGTCAGTCTCCATTGAAGATCATTCTAATAATAGAATGATTTATTTCTTTTAGGCTATATTCATGCTTGGCAAATGGCAGTGCAGATGAGTTCCAACGAGGCGAGCAACTCTTCCGAATGAGGGCTGTTAAAGACCCATTGCAGATAGGTATGATGTTTGTATCTTACAAACTGGAATTGGGACTTCAGAGATCAGAGTCTAATTCCCTTGCTTAGTGCAGGGTCTGCTTTCCTTTTCTTTAACCCTAACCCTTACACTGCTGTTGAAAAATCTCATGTCAGATGCAAAAAATATCTGAGGCAGACTTTGATGAGTATTAAACTTATTACATACTATACACACATACTATATTTGAGTATGTTTTCTCAGCAAACATAAAGTTGCACTCTATCATGACAGCCTTAGAACTGGCTGGGGAGACATTTGTGAATTCTTCCTCTCAGATGTGTCTCAGAATGACAGAAAGGAAGGAATTATTTGGATCCTCTTTGAGGTGGACAAGTCTTAATCTATGTAATTGACTTAATTTTTTTTTTGCTGACACTGTTAAATCAGTTTAAATATTTTTGCAATTATTCCAAATAGGGCTATCCCTAGGTCATTTTTTAACTTTATATTTCATCTCCATGTTCATTTTTCTAATTTTATTATGTGTCTTAAACAGTTTTTAATTTTCATTCTCGTTAAAGACCCTATTTAGAGCAGTCGCTTTGTAGCCCCAAAGCTTTGGATCAAGCTTTTGAAACCATTCTAAGTTTCCACTGAATTGTATTTTTAACAGTTGAAAAAACGGAAACGTTAGATACATGAAATAAATCATATTGACTATATTGAGTTAATTCCATGTAATTGTAGTAGGATATAATTTAAGTAAATCAGATTTAATTTTTGTCTTAGGCCTGACAACATTTTGGATTAAATTCCCCCATCATAGACTATACTTGCTCTGTTTACAGCCCAGTAGTTTGAGGTATACAAGCAAGCCTCACAGAATGGTTGCTGATCTGCATAGACTAATACTGCTTTAATTATTACAGCAGTATACTATTATGTTTACTTCCTGTTTGTTAGTCTAAGTACTTTTAAATTGGAGAACCTGAAAAATTAGGACCCTTTACTACTGTATGAATGTAAAGCATTTTCAGCTTTTAAGAGATCTGTTTGGAAGCTTTAGTTACAGATGAAACATGTCTACTTCTTGAGAACATTAAACGTGTGTGTGTTTTAGACAAGGAACAGTGTGTTCTACCACAAAATGAGATAAAGTTTCATCCATGGATTTATTAGACAGCTTTGAATTAAGTATTCGTTTTTTTTTTATCCTTAAAAACTGAATAGAGCTACTGAGAGAATATATTGGCCTGCATTTAATAGTAAATTTTGGCTTAGTACCACATGAATAGATGTAATAACCCTGAAAAAATATCCTCTGGCTCATAGGCACATGAATTCTGTCTTGTTACATTCAGGTAATGATAATGGGTTAAAACAATTTAATATTTTTAACAAGATTCAGATAAACTGGCTGAAGAGTTTATTTTCACCTGCAGTCTCTGGTTTATATGTAATGGAAAACTTGCATTAATTGAAAGTGAAATTAAACTGCAAAAGTATATTTTTGGGGCCATGAACATTAGCCCAAGTTTGCATTATGTGCAAACATGGGTAACAAATGTGCATAGTACTTAAAACAGCTGATATAGTAGTTGTCAATAGGAATGATTTTAGTTTAAATTTAGATGAGGATCTTCTATCCAAATGCAAATTTTTACTATAAAACTACCCTTTGAAAATAGCTGAAATATATTATTTGAATTTTTCATTGAAACTAGGAAGATTGAGTATTGCAAAGAATGGCTTTTTGACTGAATAGTATTTCAATTATACATCTGAGTTACATTTTCCTCTGCTGCAATAACTTCCAGACCATAACTTTTATCCTGCTCTCCAACAGGTTTCCACCTGAGTGCCACAGTGGTACCTCCACAGATAGTGCCACCAAAAGGAGCCTACAACGTGGCAGTAATGTTTGACAGATGCAGGATTACCTCATGCAGCTGTACATGTGGAGCTGGGGCCAAATGGTGTGCCCACGTGGTAGCCCTTTGTCTCTTTCGGATACACAATGTAGGCTTTGAAATATGGCTGTTGTTTTATTGCACAGTAAAACATAAAAATCAAGTATTCAGTAATGAAAAGTTCTGCTGTTGATTTTAGTTTCTGTTTCATTAGTTGACTCAGACTTGAAGAAAGGTTTTTGTTTAATACTGTTTAGTATAGAATTTTGAGACACAGTTAAATTGGAACAGTCAATGCTGCATGTTAGGTGATTGCCCTGTTCCCCTCCCCCAGCCCTCCATGAGCCTCATGAGCTGATTATTATAAATGGGTTCTTAAAAAATTTGAGAAACTGTCTGTTAAAATTAAAGCAGTATTCTACCATTCTCCCAGTTTTTAATCTTTAATAATTTTTTCTCTGTGTGTAGCAATTTTAGATTCATGTACTGTAGAACTTGGCTTAACATATAATATGTATTTTCTTCTGTAAATTTTACTGACTCATAACTTTGAGGTGACCCATTTGCTGTCCTATGGGAAGACTTATAATGAATAAAATAGAAATACAATTAAATTTTAAGAACTCTGACTTACAAAATATTACTGAATATTATTGAAATTTGTGTCTATAGAGCATTATAGAGATTTTCTAAAGGAATCAACATGTTTCATATGAATTTCTAGTGATCTTTAAATCAGTTGTTTAGGATAAATCAGAAATAATATTTTGGTATTAGTGACAGCCTAACTCCCTGAATATTTGTGGCTGAGCTAACAGTTTTTCAGATTTTGTTGTATTTACAATTAGATTTTTGACAGTTCTCAAACTGAAGAGTCATCCTCATCTTTTGTGGTCAAATTATTTTTACAAGTTATGAAAAGCAGAATGTAAGCTAAATTGTAGTTGCTCTCATTTTTTTGTAGTATCAAGCATATTCACTTTCTGCAAAATTTAACTTTGAGGGTGCAGACTCTAGTATAATGATTCAATTCTGTTTAGATGGCTGTTTTTAAAAAGTGCTGATGGGGATATTTTCCCATTTTGTAAGATTTGGTGTACTATCCTTAACATATTTATAAAACTTCTGGGAGAGGCATGAGGCTACTCCATACTTTTGCTTTTATCAAATATACTGACTGTACTTAGACAAAATCAGAAAATAAACGAGTACCAGTGAGATGACATCCAGTACAGATAAGGCAGAAATGATTTGTGCCTTATTATAATGAGGCAGAAATGATTTGTGCCTTATTATAATAATAATAATGATAATTATTTAGCCAAGGATTGGGGTTTTTGTTCATTCCTTAGGAAGCAGATCATAGTTTGGGGATACGTTTAGACTCATAATTGTTACTAGACATGAAGATACCATGTGTTTTCCCGAAAATAAGACCTGGTCTTATTTTCTTTTGGATCCCAAAATAAGCACCATGTCTTATTTTCAAGGGATATCTTACCCACTTACCTTAGGACCACCACATCCAGGCTTCCCACATCCCGACATCTCTCGCGCCGCTGCCCGGCTTCTGTTGCTCCTTGCGGACAGGCGCCACGTGGCACATCGCACCGATGGTGTGGCATGATGCGTGACTCGATGTGCCGGTGCCACCGCTCACAGCAGGAGACTGTGGCACATCGCACCGGTGCCACCGCTCACAGTAGGAGGCCACATGGCGCATCGTGTGAATGGCGACACTGGCATGACATGTGGCCTCCTGCAAGGGGAAGCATTGGCACGTGCCACGCGGCCTCCTGTGGTGAGCTGCAGCACCGGCACAATGTGCCATTTGGTGTCCGGCTGCAAGCGGCCACAGAAGAACTCAAGCACTGGTGCAACAGGTGTCAGGGTGTGGGAGGCCTGGCTGCGGCGGTCGTAAGGTAAGCAGGTACTGGGCATGTGGGGGCAGCTCCACGGAATGAGTGGGTCTTATTTTTGGGGTAGGGCTTATATTAGGTGCATACGGAAAAAACAAGCTAGGTCTTTTTTCGGGATAGGTCTTATTTTTTGGGGAAACACAGCTTCACTTGTGATGAGAACTTAATTGGAGAGAGCAGCCTTATAACAATTATATTCTGATAGTCTCCCATTTACGTATTCACACAGTATAGTGGGGCTGTCGCCTAAAATGGTCTCTGACTTTCAGTTAACTAAGATTGTTAATGTGGAATGGTTGAAAGAATATTATATTGCCCCTTTCACAAGCTTTCAGTCTGTTTCTGGCTTCATTCCTAAAGGGCAGGCAACCAGTTTCCTCCAAAAAAATTTCAGCTACAACTTTCATATGATTCAGTTAGCAGATGTTAGGGGAAATATAAAAAGCATTTGAAAGAGACCAACATACATGAAGGAATATTTCCTTCTGTTTGATTCTTCGCCTCTATTTCTGAAAGCTTCCTTCAGAAGACTATGAATTGAAGAGAGATAGGTGTCTTCTTACTGAGAACATTTAATGTGGAACGCTATTATCACAAAAGTTGACTTTTGCCCTTGCATTATCCCAACTATGTTTAGCTCTCTTGTATCTAGTTAACTTGGATTACTTTGCGATATTTTACTCCTTTTGTTTTAAAGTAATTTTGCACTCTGTATTCTTCATTCATTCGTCTGTTGATCAGAACACTTCATGTTGGATTAAATCTAATAAGATAAAAATACACCAATACAACAGCAATAGAAAATATTTTTGTGTCTGCAGGTAATAGGATAGGCAGGTATTTTTATTTACCTAGTAATAAACTTTGTAAATACTGTGCTAGGTATGATGTGACTGTATCTGGGTTGAAGCAGTGAGGAAACACTGACTGCATTCATTTGAATTTTTTTTTGGTATAAGTAGCTGCTTTAAAAACAGCTGCTATGTAAAAGTAAATGAAAACTCATTTACTTTTTTTCTTCTTCCACTGGGAAGAAGAATTGGCCAAGATTCATTTTACAGATTGCAGTTTACATTTACAGTTTTGCAGAATCTTTTTTTGATGGTTTAAGAAGCTTAAGAGAATCACATGAAAATGTCAAAAAATGCTTATTGGATAGGCTGAATTTGCCTAATGACCAGTGGTGAAATGCTGCCGGATCTATCTGGCTCGTGCGAAGTGGTGGGAGGTTTCGCCCACCCGCCGGGGACGTAATGACGTCCCGTTTTTGACCCTCTGCGCATACGCAGAAGGCTCTGCACATATGCAGAAGGCTCTGCGCTTGCGCAGAAGCGGCACATACGAGTGTACCGAGCGCACATGTGTGCTCACATTCCCAAACCGGTAGCGAAGGTAAGTGCATTTCACCTTTGCTAATGACCATGTCTTTTGCTTAACAACTACAGTGACTCATAAATACAGTTGTAAAAATGAGTCAGGTTACATGGTGACCTACTTAATGACCTCCTGATTTATGACCAGAATTCTGGGCCCAGTTGTCATAAATTGAGGACTACCTATGCTGTTTCCAAGTAAATATGGATTGAGCATAAATGTACTCAAAGTGAATCATATCACTATATGTATTTTGGCTATAGCCAAAATCTTGCTCTGATTCATAGAGGCATCCTTACCAAAGCCTGATTTTAATAAACAACACTACATATGTTCCAAAAAGGCTTCTTATGCAGCTTTATCTGCCCTTGGGAGAATTATTTAACAAGAAACATGACATTCTGTTAAAGAAATAATCTTTATATTTTCCCTTCTTATCTCTAGGCATCTGCAGTTTGCTTGAGAGCGCCTGTCTCTGAGTCCCTATCTCGATTACAAAGAGATCAGCTGCAGAAATTTGCACAGTACCTCATCAGTGAACTCCCTCAACAGGTAGATAGCAACAAAATGGAGAGTAAATCCAGATTATACTCTATGGATGCACTTTTATTTAATTCTCTTTTGAAAATATTGTTCCTTGTGTGCTGAAATACAGATGAAAATATTGCATTCTTTCATACTTTTTGAATACTGTTTGTATGCTTTAGATCAGGGGTCCTCACACTTTTTAAACAGGGGGCCAATTCATGGTCCCTCAGACTGTTGAAGGGCCGGACTGGCTGGGTGGGCATAACTAGGTGGTCATGTGATTGGGTGGGCATGGCCAATTTAGCAGTCCATTAAACAATACACACAAATTTAAATTTCATTTGTTTTGCTCCTGGGGGTGTTTTATTTCTTTTGTTTGCATATTGCTGTAATGGTTGACTTTCTTTTTAGTAAATCATTTTTTAAAATTGTTCAGTGGTTCACTTCAGGATACTCAGATTCTTCTCAGCCCCAAGAAGCTTACAATCAACAACTTTTTCTCTCCATCCCTCCCCCCCCCTCTGTGTCTCTCTCTCTCTTTCCATATCTCTCTCTTTCCATATCTTTTTCCACATTTCTCTCTCTCTCTTGGGGCATCTTCTGCAGGATCCTGGCAATGCCCTAGGATACTTCCTTGAATTCCATTCCATTCCATTCCTTTCCATTCCATTCCATTCCTTTCCATTCCATTCCATCCTGTTCCCATTCCCACTCCATCCTATTGCTCTTCCATTCTATTCCATCCCATCCCATCCCATTCCATTCTATTCCTATTCCTATTCCCATTCCATTCTCTCCTATTTCCATTCTATTTGCATCGCGGCGGTCTCAATCTGCTTTTGGAATCTCACTGGCTGTCCCGGAGCTTCCTCTGCACATGCCAAACGTGTGCAACAGGCTTGAGCAAGAGCCCTGTGCATCTGGCAGGCAGGATCGGATCGGGCAGGCATCACTCGGAACAGGTTTGGCGAGGAAGCCCCAAAGCGGGGGCTCAGTGGCCACCAAGACACAAGCGAGCTAGGGAGCGGGTGCCATAACAGCGGCCCCGTCGCCTTCTTCCCCCCACCCCCTCGCCACTTGGATGCCCTTCCTGCCTCCCTCTCAGGGGCGGAGACAGCCATCCTCCTTCAGGGACAGACACCCTCACTGGCCACCGCCCTGGAGCTGCCGAGTGGGAGAAGAATGGGCTGGCAAGTGGCCGGGGGGTGGGGGGGGGAGAAGGCTCGCTTGTGTCTCACCAGCCCTGCTTCTCCACGGGCTGCCAAGCTCTCCTCACAAGTGAAGGGCTGTGCCTTTCGCCGACGGAGGAAAGAGCTTAAAGATTTGCCACCGTCACTCTGCCGGGAGTGGGGGAGCCAAAGGATCCCAATGAGAGAGTGCGCCTGCGGTGTAATTAAGCGTCGCTTCCAAGAGTTGCGCTTAGTGCCAGGGTGGTGCTCTCCACTGAGGACCATCTGCTCACAGTCCCCACTGCCTCGGACCCCACATCCAGTGCATGACTGGGGGATCCGCTGCTTCTGGGCTAGTCTGGCCGGCATGGGATAGCGCTAAGGCGCAGCATGTACTGGGGCCTCCCACTCCTCTCTGCTTCTGCTCTGCTTTGCCCAGGATGAATGGAAAGCGCGCAGGTACCTGGCACTAAGTGCGACTCTGGGAAGCGATGCATAATTACATGGCAGGCGCACCCTCTTCCATTAGGACCCTTTAGTTCCCCCCCCCCAGCGGAGCGACGGTGGACTGAAGTCCCTGGCAACTTTTGAGTTCTTCCCTCGGCTGGCAAAAGGCGCAGCCCGTTTTTGGCCTCCCCCTCCCCTAGAAGCACTCTGCCAGCCAAAAACAAGACGCGCGGATGCTTCCCAGGGCCTCTGCCTGCCCGTTTTTTGGCCTCCCCCTCCTCCCAGAAGCACTCTGCCAGCCAAAAAGTTGGCCTTATCTTCCAGTTCTAGCCTCACAAAGGTAAATCCTGCACTCTGCCGAAGGGTGGGGGCCGGCGGGTGGGTGGGGCAATGTGGGCGAGGCACCCTCGTGGTCCCTTAGGGGCCAGATTAATGGCTTCGGCGAGCCGTATCCATCCCGCGGGCCATAGTTTGAGGATGCCTGCTTTAGATTTAAGAATGTTAGTGATCTGAATAAATTACCATATTTAGTAATTTTGATGAGCAACATATAAAGATTTTTGAGTTTAAATTTTCAAGTTTAACATTTTTACTTCATAAAATTGCACAAAATATTTCCATTTTGAAATACATTGCACACTTTTACTAATCTTCTAATGCCAAACCAGATTGTGAACAAAACTCAATAAAATTTTGGGATGAATACTAGAATAAAAGGCAATTCAGAATGAAATCATGTAACGTAACCAGTGATCATAAAATGTAGAATATTCCACAACTAATTAAACAGACTAATGAAGGATAGGAACAGCATTAATTGTTAGGTTAGAAGCCACTTTTTATTCCCTCCAGTCATATAGGAGTGATTATTGAAAGCTTCAAGGCTGTTAGTTGTCTTTCGATATGATGCTTCTAATCTATAGTCAGCTATTTCTTTCTTGTCTTTGGCTTCTGCTCCAAGAATAGTTCCAATGAAAGGAATACATTGTTTGATTACATAAAAGTAATTACTTATAGTTTTACCTATAAAAATGTTTCAACAGAAAGCAGCCTGTATAAGCTCAAGGCAATGGCTCAGTTGCATAGCTGCAAATAACTTCTGTGTTTCTGTACCTTTCTTTGCCCCTTTCTGTGTTATCGCTGCATGACTGCTCAATTGAAGGTAACTTGTGCAGGGAGATTAGCATCCCCATGCAGGGTGTGTTTGTTCTGTTTCCTAGTTAAGAAAATGTCTTGGGACTATACCAAGCTACCATGATGAGCATTGGGTAGAGTAGTATTCTCAAGCCATCTAGTCTAAATGACGGATGCTCACAATTTTAATTAGACATACAGAAGTAGCCATATTCTAGTAAACTGGTGTTGGTGGAAACTGTTAACACAAATGTTTGTTATTATTTTGCTTACAAAGTATAGTTGTAGGAGAACTTGATTAGACAAATAATATCTACTGTATATCAATTAAGGAGTTATGGTGAGTGGCCTAGGTGATTGTTATTTTGAATTTTAGGTGGAAAACTCATGTGAAAAGAGATATACCCTGAGAAATGAGATTAGACAGTTCAAAACTTTTTTTTTTATTTGATTTATATGCCGCCCTTCTCCGGAGACTCAGGGCGGCTTACAATGTGCTCAGCAATAGCCTTTATGCTTTTGTATATTTATACAAAGTCAGCTTATTGCCCCCACAAACTGGGTCCTCAATTTACCTACCTTAGAAAGGATGGAAGGCTGAGTCAACCTTGAGCCTGGTGAGATTCGAACTTACAGTAATTGCAGACAGCTGGTGTTAATCACAATGCTTTTAGTCTGCTGAGCCACCAGGCCCTTTAATTAAATTAAAACCAAACTGAAGACCTGTTTAGATACTAAAAAACAGCAACTAACTTGATTTGGCTATCCTTTCCTCCCTGCCTCAAGCAGAATTGAATTATATTGCATCTCCTAAGCTTTCATACAGCCTATAATCCAGGTCTATCAAACTCCCGGCCCACAGGCCGGATGTGTCACACACTGGCCATGCCCATGCTTGTTTTAGTGAAGGGGAAAAAAGTCCCGATACATCATGTGACACCGTCATGCCGATGTGAGTTTGACACCCTTGGTCTAATCCATTTCAACAGATGTAAAGCATAAATATACCATCAGTTATGGATGAATGAAAAAGTGTAATAACAGAACATTTAGTAATCACAAAAAAGCAATAATACTTCTTACTCCATAGAGTAGTAGATATTTGCTGGAAATATAAGGAAAGAGAAAAGTTGTTGCTAGATGTAGTAGTGATATTGCATGAGGCAATAGTTAAATGGGACACATTCTTTCATTGAATGGTAGTTAACAAATGTTGCTTGATAAGTTTAATGGTAAACTTATATGATAAATGGCTTCAAGTTAACTAATGAATTTTAGTTCATCTGTTTGTGTTCTGGTTGATCTTTAAAGCATCCTGGTCGTTGGGATGCTTCAGGACTATTTATTATAGTTTCTTTGTAACTTTCTGAGATGTTCAATTTGCAGTGTTCTCATAACTATGAATAGTTCTTCTAAACAAATAATTTATTTCCACTGAATAAAAGAATAGGACAGGATGTGGGAGATGATCTTTTTAAGGGCTCCCCACCCTTTGAAAATACATCTGGGATTCTGTGAGTTATGCTCACAGAACTGTCCTGCAGGCCCAGTAGTGCTGCTAGACATACAGTATGATCATCAACATGGAGATGAAACAGGAGCCACCTCTTGTTCCACTTTCAACACAGGTACACTAAAAAGTTCTCTGGCATTGAGATTCTTTTCCGATTCTCCTCAATTCATCTCTCATATGCACACAAAACACAAGCATGAGAAGACTCCTTGTCTTCCACTTGCACCAATTGGACAAGTGGGGAATAATCTCTTGCTGCTTTTCCCCCAGGCCAAGAAAGGATTTCCTGCCGAAGATGGCTGCTTTTGCCTCCGTTTAACTGCAGATAAATAAGGGGTGACATTTAATTTCCCTCTAATCTTATATAAAATAAAGAGACTTTATAACCCAGTGTTTTTTCAGAATTCTCTATTAATGTTATTTTCATGTGGGTTCATTTGTAATGAATGTAAACGGGACAAGCCAAAAGTGAGCAGCATATTGAGTCCATAGCACGAAACTAAACATTTGGGAACATTATGCTATTACATAGGTAGCTTCTCTCCTTAGCTGGTGGCAATCCTTGGCATGAAATATTACGAGCTACTTCAGTAGAACTTGACTTTATTACTATCACATTTCAGTTATGCATTTATTAGATACTGGCTAGCATTTTTCATTTTACATTCTCTGAGACATTTATAATTGTGCCTTCAGGCAGAATCTCACCTCTCTTTTGCTATTCTGGTCTCTTTTGCTAATTTCTAATTGTTCAGGTTTTTAAACCAGCTTCCCTAATAGCCAAAGATATCTATTTAATTCGGCTGTTATAGACCTTACTACCATAAATTCCAAGATGATGTATCAATCTTCTCTTGCATATTTCTACCATTAATTCTTCAGTTTTGTTCCATTTCAGTCAGGCCAAAGACCAGCATAGTATGCCTCTTTTCCGCACCCTCAGAAATTAAAATAACACTGCAATCAGTTTTTAAAATGTATTAATTTTCTTGCTCTTAGGATACTTGCTGCCTGAATGTGGTCTGGCCCCACCTTTTGGTCTTCTGGAAGGGCATTCAAACGTGGCTCTGCCCCCAGGCTTGGGGTCCTGATGTGTGTGGTTGGTGGATTAATAGGGAAGATGCCACCACTGTACCATCCTTGCTTCTGTTTCTTAGTTTTGTATCTACTGTTAATATTTTAATATTTATTATTTTTATTGTAAGCCACCCAGAGTTGCTTTGCAGAGTGAGATGGGCGGCATATAAATTTAATAAATAAATATATTTCTAACCCAGTGTTTTTTCAGAGTTTTCTATGATAGGTGACCCTGAGTCATTTTCCATGGGAATTATGTCATTCTAGTCCTAAACTGTCAGCTTTTATGAGCAGGGTTTGGCTAAATCAATCTCCTTACACTTCCCATTTTAGCTCGGCTTTTTTCAGCCTGACTTGTCAGAAGACTGCAGACACAGTTCAGTTAACTTTGAATACCTATTGCAAAATTAAACCATACACAGAATTGACTGCCCACTACAGTCAAAGTAGTCAAGAATTGGCATGTATTCTGAAGCATTAAAATTCAAGGCTTCCTCCTCCTGCTCTCCCCAGTTTAGGGTTAGTTGACATGGTCTTGATGGCCCTGTAGTCAGGGAATTGTGGCATCTTTACATCCCTAGTCTGGGAACTGCTAGCTAGTTCCTCAACAGCCTCAATCTGTACAAATGAAGTCTCATATTTCACTAGGTATGCCATATTCTTCTGTTCTACTTCATCTAACCCTTTTCTTCTTTTTCTTTAAAACCTTCTTTTTCTGATAGTCTTTCAGGAGGCCTTTCATCTAAAAATTCTCAAATTGACCCTAATGAGAAATATCACTTCACCAGACCTTATTATAACAAGCAGTAAATTCATGAACAAGATAAACTGCTTAAATAGATAGATAGATAATTAAATAAGTTGGATATGCAAGGACATTCCTCAAGTCCCTTCATCTTCTCTTCCAACAGAGCCGTTTGTTGCACATGTAGTTTATGCTGTCTTCAGGCAGAAAGACAAACATGGCACACATGCTTGCTGCAGGTCACTGGAAGAGCTCCTACAGTGTCCATGGAGGTAGGACATCTAGATGAATCCATCATCTTCTTCCAATTTCTTTACTAGAGGCCTGTATAGCATTTTCCTACCTGCCCAAAATAATGGTTACTTCATCGTGAGGGCCCACATCTGTAATACAGTAAATGTTTCTCCAGATCATGATAAATCCAAGGGATTGGAGTTTATAGTAGATTCCTTGCTCTGTGTTAATAATGAATGCTCACATTTGAAGAAATATATTTTACTAAATAGTGAAAAATTTTAAAAAACGTTAATAATTTGTCCATGGAAGTAACACAGATGTTGCTCTTTGATAGTATATGATTTCCAGGCCTAAAGAAGCACATAAATGCAATATATAGAGACCCAGACTTTTTGCCTCAAACATAGCAAATACAATAAGATAAAATACAACTAATGTTGAAAGCTATGGAATACATAAGGTCACAGAAAGAACTTTTATTCCTTTATGTATGATTTTATATTTGACAGTACAAATTTACAGTAAATCTGTTTTGGGATGTTTTGATTCTGATGTAGCTATCTTTTAAAATTTCTGTAGAACAAAATAGCTTAACTTAGATAAAAGTGCTTCTTGGTAGTTCATTCCATTTAATCACATTCAGTTTGGTCCTGATGCCATTTCTGTCCAGGTTTCACACTTGCTAGAGGTTTTGGAGGAATCAACTGAGGTCCTAGGTGTGTAACCATCTTAATATGAAATAGATAGACTTTGAAATAAGATTGTTGCACATTGTATTAACATGAGATTAATACAACATAAAATGTTGTGTATATTTGATGATTGAAGGTGCAATTTCAAAGCTGGAATATTAATTTGCCTTGCTTAAGTGCCTTTATCATTTCCATACTTTGAGTTATAGTCTGTAGATTGTTGGTGTAACTAGAGAGCATTGCTGGTAAAGTTTGCATTATGTTGTTCTTCAGTGAAATCCTAAACATTTCAGGACATAAAAATCAGAATTTTTCATGTATGAGAAATGCCCAAAATAATTACAACATTGGAGTCACATATGATTTATAGTAACAGGTTCTTGATATGTGTAGTCTCTCAATATTTGAATTATAATTTACAATATTGATTATTATAATTTATTTATATTTATTAAAATGTATTACTGGTATTTTACAAAGAAAGAAGGCTGAAAGAGGGCTGAAAATTTTGGGAAATCTGAGGGGCGAAGGGGTGCTCTACCTTATGAGATCAGCTTCCAGCTGTCACAACAACCCTTATTTATGTGGGTATTTTTTTCTTTTTAATTAGTTTTATGCAATAAACATATTTCCTTAAAAATGAATATGCATACAGGAATATTAATACTTTAAAAAGCATACACATACACAGAATTAGGTCAGGCCTAAGACATTTACTGGCTGAAGTGGATCAGCTAATAGATCCCATTCTATATTGGCTAATTATACCAGGTTATTGTATAAAAGTTCTGTATATTTATTTATTTATTTATTCATTTGTTCATGCACTGTCAGACTCCAGAATAAGTATGAATAATATTGATGGATATCTCCTTTTTTTAACCCTTGCAAACATAATTTGAAAAGGTCATCCTCCTTTAGTTTCATTTGTTTACTTTTTGTATGATTATTAATACAGCAGCCCTAAAATGATTTACATTGAAGTACTTCACTAACTTGGGCTTACTCCTAAATCAGCCTTTAGGAGTATAGGAGGACAGCCTCGCAGCTTCTTGTGTTTATATATTTTAAAAAGGAATTCAGTTATGTTAAATAACAATTTCAAGTAAGTGTGAGTACAACTACAGACTATTATCATTCTTTCCCCATTTCCTTCCTTCCTTTTTTGAATAGCATTTACATTAAAAAACACAACTCAAATTCCTGAAAAGCATCACCAATATATAACCGTGCATATTAGTGCACAATGGGAGTGATGCATGGGGGTTTTCTTCCTCCATTTAGTATTAGCTGCTGGGAAAATAATGATATAAGTCATGGTTTACATCTATGTGATCTAAATTTGGTTAAATTGGAAGCAGGATTCTTACAAATCAAAATAGGATTAGGGAATTTCTTGGGTTGGTGAGTATATTGTAATTTTTAGAGGTGGCATGAACTGTCTCACTCAATGATCGTCATGGGGGCAGCAGAGACCAGCCTATTAAAACTAACTTCCACATGGCAGGTGGGTAGTTACAAAATAGCCCTTTGTCAAAAAGTGAAGTCACGTACCATGTCATTTCCTCTAAGTCTGCAGATGCTGTTTGTGTCCTCGAATCCTTGCTGTCCCATTCTGGGGCAAATGAACATGTCTAAAACAAAACGATGACCTGTAGTTTTTCACTATTTCTATTGTCTAAGAATGACTTTAAGCAGCCTTGTAGGGCTTATAGGCTTGTTAGAAAAAAAATCCTATGTGGAATTTAAAGGTATTTTTGTAATTAAAAAAATGCTGGAACCTGAATGTTTGGTTTGTACTGCAGAGCATTAATTTCCTAAGTTAAAAGCTGTTCTTTAAAGCCTGGTGGTCGGCAGCAAAGAGGCTTTGGTAGCTTTGGTAGTGTCTGGGGCCAAGCAATTTCTATTTGAGAGCTAGGGTGTTATTTTGAATGGTCAACTACAGGAAGTCCTTCACTTACGACCATAGTTGAGAATTTCTGTTGTAAATTGTTGACGTTATATGCTGAGTTCCTGGTTTTAGGGCAATTTTATAGCAGTCGTTAAGCGAATTGTGTGGTTGTTAAGTGGATCCAGCTTCCCAATGTGTGATTTTTGCCATAAATCAGAAAGAAAGGTCACAAATTGTAATCAATGACTTTCGGATGCTGCAACCAGTCAAATGCGAGCTACAGTATTGCCAAGTGCTCGAATTGTGATCACGTGACAGTGATGATGATGTGACAGTTGTAGCAATAGCAATAGCAATAGCACTTACATACTGCTTCACAGTGCTTTCCAGCCCTCTCTAAGCAGTTTACAGAGTCAGCATATAGCCCCCAACAATCGGGGTCCTCGTTTTTATTGACTACGGAAAGATGGAAGGCTCAACCTTGAGCCGAGTCGAAATGCTGGAGGTCAGTAGAATTAGCCTGCAATGCTGCATTCTAATGACTGCACCACCACAGGACAGTCACTTTTTCCAGGACTTGTAATTTTGAGTTGTCATTAAACTTACAGTTGTAAGTTAAAGACTGCCTGTATTCTGCAATATTCTTCCATTCTTATTATTGGCTTACATAGTACCTTAATACTAAGCTTAAATAGGAATAATTGTTTTAAAGAATAATAAACATTTTAATCAAAACCAGATGTTTTCTTGTTAGTTTAAATAAACATAGTTGAGTTCTTTATTTCTGGAAGAACATTTAAAATCAGCATCACATGTTTTTCTTACTCTTAGATACTTCCAACTGCTCAGCGTCTACTTGATGAGTTGCTATCCTCTCAGTCCACTGCCATCAACACTGTATGTGGAGCCCCAGGTAATAAATAGTGCTGTGGATTTATTATATTTAAAAAAGTATAATGCAAACAATGGTTTTCAAATATGCAAATACATTTAGTTTCAAAAATGGTAGCACTTTAGGCTGTCTATAACTAAAAAGCATCGAGGTGTAGCAGATTAAGTATGCTGATCATGATTGTCTTGAGTTGTTCATATGAAACTTTTCCTCTATTAAGTAGTAGGGAGGTACATTGTATCAAGTTTCAAATAAATGTTTCAGTATTTCTGTAATAAAATTAAGGCTCACTACTTGTTTTACCTGTAACCTTGAGTAGAGGGGGAAACAAACTCTTTGGAACAGCTGAAAGAATGTATCTGCTTTTTCCTAAGATCCTACTGCTGGCCCATCTGCCTCTGATCAAAGCACCTGGTACTTGGATGAATCTACATTAAGTGACAACATAAAGAAAACTCTTCACAAATTTTGTGGTCCCTCTCCTGTTGTATTTAGGTAACTTAAATTTTCTTCTTCCTTTACAATTTATGCAGATTTGCAAAGTCAGATGCAAACATCAGCATCTTGCCTCTCTGGACTCTGTTTTTGTAGCTTTAGAAAGGCAGTAAAAGATAATGTTTGTTTGTTTTTAATTGTAGGTGGAGACTATATATATTTGATCAGCTATATTTCAACATGTGAATCATAAGTTGTATACAAATAGTCCTTGATATATAGCCATTCATTCAGCAACCATTTGAAGTTATGATAATGCTGGAAATGTAAACTTATGACTGGTCTCTGAAGTTGCATTGCAGCATCTTCGCAATCACATGATCAGAATTTGGGCTCATCCAATTTATGACCACAGGAACACTTCAACTCCCTCACCTGCGTAACTTCCGCCTCCCCTCCCAATCTTTGCCCTTTTGGAAGCCCTGCAGTCTGCCACATATTTCTACTGCAGCTTCTACATGTATGGACTGCCACTACTGTTTCCCACAGCTGACCTTGGCCATCTTGTTCCTCCTGCTGAATCCAGCTGAGGATGCAGCTCTGGGATGAAGAAACCATTGTGCAAAGCATTCAGGCTGAACAGGAAGAATGTAGAAGCTAGGAACCCCAAGGCAGGGGTGAAATGCTCCCGGTTCAGACCAGTTGCCCGATCCGATAGCAATGGTGGGTGGTTCGAAGAACTGGTAGCAAAAATCCCTGCATGCCCTCCCCCCATGTCCAGCTGAGCCGCGCGATCATCAGAGACTGGGTTTTTTTTACTTTTAAAAGCATTTTTTCTACAACCTCTTCAGCCAAAAAAATGCTTTTAAAAGTAAAAAAAAAGCCTCTGATGATCATGTGGCTCAGCTGGGTCGTCAAAGGCTTTTCAAAGCATTTTTTTCTGCAACCTCTTCAGCCAAAGAGGTTGTAGGGGGGAAAAAATGCCTTTAAAAGCCTCTGACGATCCCAGCTGACTTGCCTGATCATCAGAGGCTTCCAAAAGCATTTTTTTCTGCAACCTCTTAAGTTTTAAAACTTTTTTTAAAAGTTAAAAAAAAAAAAAAGTTGGCCACGCCCACCCAGTCACATTACCCCCCCAAGCCACGCCCACAGAATCGGTAGTAACAAATTTTAGATTTCACCCCTGCCCCAAGAAGATAGCAGCCAAAAAGGAAACCTAAGTTGAGGGATAAATGCTTAGCAACAAAAACACAAAAGTTTGTATGAAAACATCCTCTGGGTTTTGTTCTATAGCAATTTTGTACAAGGCAGCTATAATGTAGCCACACGCAGTCTAAAAAATTCTTGACTTTTGCATTAAGCACTTTGTGACAAGACTACCTAGCCATTGAAAAGATATATGTTTATGTTTATGTTTTATGTTTTATTTGATTTGTATACCGCCCTACTCCCGAAGGACTCAGGGCGGTGAACAGCCAAACAATAAAATAACATAGATACAAAAAATTTAAAAAACCAAATTAAATCAAATTAAATCATTTTGGCCCAGACAAATTTAAAACACCCCAATAATTTAAAAACAGATTAAAATTTACATGTTTAAAAAGGGAAGAGATTAGGCCAAGCCCGCCTGATGGAATAAAAAGGTCTTCACAGCGCGGCGGAAGGTGCGCAGATCCGGGATCCTCCGTATCTCTGGGGGGAGCTCATTCCAGATGGTAGGTGCCCCCACAGAGAAGGCTCTCCCCCTAGGGGTCGCCAGCCAACATTGTTTGGCTGACGGCACCCGGAGGAGTCCCTCTCTATGAGAGCGTACTGGCCGGTGGGAGGCTATTGGTGGTAGTAGGCGGTCCCGTAGATAACCAGGTCCTAAGCCATGGAGCGCTTTAAAGGTGGTAACCAAAACCTTGAAGCGCACCCGGAAGACCACCGGGAGCCAGTGCAGCTCGCGCAGGAGAGGTGTCACATGGGAGCGCCATGTCGCTCTCATTACCACCCGCGCGGCCGCACTCTGCGCCAGTTGGAGCCTCCGGGTGCTCCTCAAGGGGAGCCCCATGTAGAGAGCATTACAATAGTCCAGGCGGGAGGTGACGAGGGCATGAGTGACCGTGCGTAACGAGTCCCGATCCAGAAAGGGACGCAACTGGCGAATCAGGCGAACCTGATGAAAAATCCTCCTGGTCACGGCCGTCAAGTGCTCTTCTAAAGACAGCCGTGAATCCAGGAGGACGCCCAAGTTGCGAGCCCTCTCCGTGGGGGCCAATGATTCGCCCCCAATAGTCAGTGATGGCATCAACTGACTATATCGGGACGTCGGAAACCACAGCCACTCGGTCTTGGATGGGTTGAGCCTGAGCCTGTTCCTCCCCATCCAGATCCGTACGGCCTCCAGGCACCGGGACATCACTTCAAGGGCATCATTGGGGTGATCCGGGGTGGAGATGTACAGCTGGGTGTCGTCAGCGTACTGATGGTACTCCACCCCGAAACCATGGATGATCTCGCCCAGCGGCTTCACATAAATGTTGAACAGAAGAGGCGAGAGGACCGACCCTTGCGGCACCCCACATATGAGGGGCCTCGGGGTTGACCTCTGTCCCCCTGTCAACACAGACTGCGACCGGTCAGAGAGAAAGGAGGAGAACCACTGCAACACAGTGCCTCCCACCCCTAACTCTTCCAACCGGTGCAGCATGATACCATGGTCGATGGTATCAAAAGCCGCTGAGAGATCTAACAGGACCAGGACAGAGGAGCACCCCCTGTCCCGAGCCCTCCAGAGATCATCAACCAACGCGACCAATGCCGTTTCCGTGCTGTACCCGGGCCTGAAGCCCGACTGGAACGGATCCAGATACGTCGTTTCATCCAGGTGCTGGGGGAGCTGTTGCGCAACCACACTCTCAACAACCTTCGCCACAAAACAAAGGTTGGAGACCGGACGATAATTTACCAACATTGCCGGGTCCAGGGAAGGCTTCTTGAGGAGAGGCCTCACCACCGCCTCTTTCAAGGCGGCAGGAAAGACACCCTCACCCAACGAAGCATTTATAATCCCCTGGAACCAGCCTCGTGTCACCTCCCGAGAAGCCAGCACTAACCAGGAGGGACACGGGTCCAATAAACAAGTGGTCGCGTTCAGTCTACCCAGAATCCTGTCCACGTCCTCAGGGGTCACAGGATCAAACTCATCCCAGATAACATTCTCAAGACCTGCCCCCGTCCCTCCCCCTGAGACTACCCAGTCGGAGTCCAGATCTTCCCAAATCTGAGTGATTTTGTCATACAGATACTGAACAAAATCCTCGGCTCTACCCTCCAAGGGGTCCTCCCGCGCTTCCTGGTGGAGCAGGGAGCGGGTCACCCTAAACAGGGCGGCAGGGCGATTATCTGATGACGCAATAAGAGCAGCAAAATAGCTAGGTAATTCCTAATATGAGATCTTACCAGTGTCCGGTCAGATTCAGAAAGACTGGCCCTCCAACTGCTCTCTAGGCGTCTTTTCCAGCGCTTCAACTCCCTCAGCTCCTCAGTGAACCAAGGAGCTAAATGAGATCGGCGCCGGGTCAGAGGCCGCAAAGGCACGACCCGGTCCAGAGCTCCAGCGGCCACCCTATCCCAGGCGGCCACTAGGTCTCCAGTCGAGGCGTGTGCCAGAGCCTCAGGGAATGGCCCAAGCTCCATCTGGAACCTATCAGGTTCCATCAGGCGCCTGGGGCGGAACCATCTTACCGGCTCCGCCTCCCTGCGGCGGGGTGTAGCGGTTCGAAGGTCGAGACAAAGGAGAAAGTGATCAGACCATGACAAGGGCTTGGTGACTATATCCCCTATCTCGAGATCACTCAACCACTGTCCAGAGACAAAAACCAGATCCAGCGTGTTTCCCCCCGTGTGGGTAGGGCCATGAATTAACTGGGTCAGGTCCATGGCTGTCATGGAAGCCATGAACTCCTGAGCCACCTCTGACGCCTCACCCACGGACGGCAGGTTGAAATCCCCCATGACCATAAGCCTAGGGGTATCAACCGCCACCGCGGCGATGACGTTGAGTAGCTCAGGCAGGGCTGCTGCCACGTGGCAGGGAGCCAGGTACGTGATCAGCAAACCCCTCTGAACCCCGTGACCCCATTTCACAAGGAGGGATTCACAGCCGGCCGCCTGAAGAACAGTGGCCTCCCTCGGTCTCAGGCCATCTTTAATGATAACCGCTACCCCCCGCCCCTCCCCTGTGACCTTGGCTGATGGAATGCGTGGAAACCTGGTGGGCACATTTCAATGAGGGGAACCCCCCCTCCTGGCCCAACCAGGTCTCCGTAATACCTGCCAGGTCCGCACCCCCCTCCTGAATAAGATCACAAATGAGGGGGGCTTTATTTACTATGGACCTGGCATTGCACAGCATCAGCCGAAGGCCTGGGCCCTGAGGGTCTATGCAACCTGGAGAACGGGTGGAGCCTAGGGGGCCGGAGCACACCACCGCTCGTAGACAGCGGGTGCGCGCTTCCCTAACACGATATGGCCCCCTGCTCCCGCCGTATCTACCCCTCCCACTCACAGTATTGATGTTTGAAACACTATCCGGATGAGCTCTAACACCCCCCTCGACCCCAGGTCCCCCACCCCCCCGCCGCACTTCGAGGCCAGACCCAACCCTCCCCCTTGTGGGTTTTCCCCCAAACCCACAACCCGAGTTCTAATTCGACCCTCCCCCTCCCTGGGACCCCTTAAAAGTTTAATTAAAAAATTTGATAAAAAACCCCTCAACCCCCTGGTTTTCACATGCCACCTCTCTGGGTCCCAAAACCCGTCCTTGAGGTAGGCCCTCGATAATGTGGAGGGCCAGATCTGCGAGAGGGGGGAATCTCGCAGCGCAAGAAGTTCATAGGTAGTATACATCTTAGGTTACAGCGAGGGAGGCGGAGATCATAATCAGGGGTCCATTTGGTAATCCCAAAATCAGATGTAACACACAGCCATGCGGCTCCACCGGTAAATACACTGTCCTCTCACGACAGTTTGAGGGGTCTTTCACAGTTTCAGCCAACGGAGAATGACATCCAGCCCGCCCTCTCACGGCGGGAGGCCCTTAAATAGCCCTAGAGATAGAAATGTTCCATCCTTCCGGTGGTGAATTCATGATGTAAAAGAGACGACCCCCTCAGTGGTTGCCACATGGTTGTCCCAAGGTTGGAGAGAATGATTTATAGTTCAGTCAGTCAGTTCATCCGGGGGTTAAAGATGACAGTCCCTGCTCTTTATAGTCGCACCAATATGAAAGTTCCAGTAAGAGACACAAAACATACGAGGGAAGGGGAGGGGGGGGAGAAACCCCTTTACCTGGGGCCAGATGGTAGCCCATTTCACGGCCTAAACAAGGTCTCTTGTTTCTGAAAAGGAGACACTAAATTTGGGTCTCTCCAACCTCTGAATCATTCTCTCTATTCAATGGTCCAGTTTGAAGATCATGATACCAGAGTAATGTGGGTCATAAAAACAAAGGAATCCCGTCTCCCTGGAGTATTGGAAAACTCTTCTTTCATATGGATCCTAAAGGAACTCCTGCCATTGAGGCTGCGGTTCCTACCTGCTCTCAAAAGATGAGGATTTCTCCTAAAAAAAAGGAGATTCAAGGGCCAGCCCTATGGTTTCTAAAACAGCTATTGTGCTATTTCAAATTTCCTAGTATGTATAACAGACCTGAGCTACCTCTAGTCCAAGAAATCCATCAGGTTTCCTATTTTAGATGGGAAAAAAATGACACTACATTGGATTCATTCAAAGTTGTTCAATATAGCTGTTACCAGTAATAAATGTTGCTCTTTGTTTTGGCTCATGGGAGAGCGAGTGAACTGCTCAGTAATTTGCTGTGACCAATTTTTGAGGAATTTTAGAGACTCACTTCTATTCAGTGCAATTTGCCACAATTAGTGGAACTTTCATCCACGAAAAAGTACTAATGTGCCTTTAGTGCTTATTTGTCCAGTTAAATGAGCTGTTATTCTACTTTTTCAGCATAAGGATAAGGATATATATATCCTTATATATATATATAATTATATAATTATAATTATATATATATATATATAATTCTTGAAACTAGTTTTAGAAGGGATCCTGGAAAGACACCTGCCAAATCTCCTGGTCATTGGCCTACTTTATAGCTATGTAAAATATTGGAGGAGTTTGTTTGAAATTTTAAGATTTAGTATCAATAGTACTTGGATGATATGCAATTCTGTCCATGTACATATTTTCAAATTGAAGCCTGCATGTAGATCTTATATAGTATTTTGATGCTGCAGCGTGTTTGGGAAAAGTGCAATCAGCAAAGCAGAAAATGGCTGTGTTATAAACGTAGTTATAACCTACGTTGTTCTTAAATCTTATCCACATTATTTCACAATGTTGATGTTCCTTATGCAACTCAAAGGGAAAACTAATTTTAAAATCACAAAATTTAATTTGGATGAAATGACTACATTAAACAACAATTGAAGAAGAGGACTGAAGTGACACAAAAAGATTTGGTGAGAGGGAGTTGCCATACATTTGGTGGTTGACCTCTTGTCCTTCATTTTTGATATTACTAAACAGACTCTTCCTGATTACACAGATGGATTAAGGAGATAAAATCTATAAAGAAATCCCCTACATTCAGAGTTTCATAAATGATTATCCTATGTTCAAGCATCAGTTTGAAGTTCTCCCATCCCCCCCCCCCCGCTTTTTCCAACTGCACAGTGATGTGAATTCCATGTACCTGTCCTCCACGGAACCCCCAGCTGCTGCTGAGTGGGCCTGTCTGTTACGCCCCCTGAGAGGGAGAGAACCTGAAGGCATATGGAACCTGCTTTCAATTGTACGTGAGATGTTTAAGAGACGGGATACCAATGCAGCTCCTCTTCTGGAGATCCTGACAGACCAGTGTCTAACATACGAACAGGTATTATTCCCTTTGTTAAATACATTCTCACAGAAACGTGTGGGATGGAATGGTCATGTCGCTTATCTAGAAATTTTAAGGAAAATGAAGAATTAGACAAATGCCTAACAGTACAATAATATAGTGTTAAGGGAGGTAGCTATCCCACTGTATACCATCAATTCCTTTGAACACCATCGATTTCCATTTCTAGAATTTAGCCAATTTTTGGTGGTTTATTTTTTAAATGTGCTTAGCCAAAAAAGAGGCAGTAATTGAAATATTATCTCTGTAAGGCTGTGGTGTTTTTCTGTGATGGTGCTATTGGAAATTGGTGTGTTAAGATTCATGGAGGCGGTAGGTTTATAGCAATTGAACTGCACACAGCAAGTGGCCTAATTCTAGTGATTGGAATTTATGCTCCTAATCAACAACAGGATAATTTTGACAAAACTTTGCATTCTAAAATATTGCAATGGGACTATAGATCTACTTTGATTATGGGAGATTGGAATGGAGTAATTGACCCTAAAACAGATAAAAAGAGTTTGGCGAAGTCAAGGATTAGATTACCACAGACTTTTTTTGACATGAAAGAAGATTTGGAATTAAAAGATATTTGGAGAATACATAACCCAAAAGAGTTGGACTTTACTTTTTTTCAGATAGACACAGATCCTTTTCTAGGATTGATTTTATTTTACTATCAGCTGACTTACTTGTAAAAACAAAAAGAACAAAGATTTTTCCAAGGACTTTAACTGACCATAGCCCAGTATGGATAGAAATTGAGATGGGAAAGAATGAGAGAAGATCATGGAGATTAAATGAAAATCTGTTTAGATATGAAAAGAATATAACAGAACTTAAGAAGCAGATGAAAGAATTTTTTGAAATGAATTTGAATAAGGGTACCCCTATTGAAATTGTGTGGGATGCGAGTAAAGCGTATATGAGAGGGGTACTCATCCATATGAACTCTAAACACAAACTAAACCGACAAAAGAAAAGAGCTGAAATGGAAGCAGAAATAAAGAATAAAGAACAGTTATAAAAAAACCAACAGATGAAAGAATACGAGGAGCTATAAAACTTCTGAAAGATCAATTTCAAATGCTTATGGCGGAGCAAACAGCAACAAATGTACAATTTGCGAAACACAACACATTTTGCAACGCTAATAAACCGGGCAGATGGTTGGCTTATACATTAAGGAAGAAACAGAGTACACGGATTATTGATAGTATTGACATTGGAGGGAAGGAAATCTCTCAACAAAAATTAATTAAAAATGTTTTTGTAGATTATTATACTAAATTATATGCTAAAGACGATACACAGAATGGATTTATAGAGAAATATCTAGAAAATAAAAGAGTCACAAAAATTACTAGTCAACAAAAGGAGAGAATGAATCATTTTATAACAGCTGAGGAGATTATTGCCGCAATTAAACAATTGAAAACAGCTAAAGCTCCTGGGACGGATGGTTTAACTGCGGTGTACTATAAAACTTTACAAGCAGAAATGATTGAAATCTTAAAGATCTATTTTGTAGTATACAACAAGGGGGTAAAATACCCCCATCATGGAAAACAGCTTATATTTCATTGATACCGAAAGAGCAAATAGGTCCTAAAAAAACCTGAGAATTTCAGACCAATATCTCTTCTGAACAATGACTATAAAATATATGCAAAAGTATTAGCCAACAGGTTGATGCCAGTTATCCAAGAGGTGATTCATGATGACCAAGCGGGATTTATAGAAGGCAGATATATGAAGGACAATGTAAGGCAAGTTATAGATCTATTAGAATATCTTGAGAAGAATAAACAGATCCCTGCAGTGCTGGTTTTTCTGGATGCGGAGAAGGCCTTTGATAGAGTGGATTGGAATTTTCTATTAAAGACTTTCAAAAAGATGGACTTTGGGGATCAATTTATACAGGCAGTTTCAGCAATTTATCCAGAACAAAAGGCACAGATTATTATTAATGGAAGTTTGACAACAGATTTTAATATTGAGAAAGGAACAAGACAAGGTTGTCCGTTATCCCCATTGTTATTCATTTTAACACTAGAAGTCTTGTTGAATACAATACGGGACTCAAGTACCTTGAAAGGAATAGTGATAAGGCAAGAGGACTATAGAATAAGGGCATTTGCAGATGATCTGGTTGTTACCCTAACACAGCCGATGGAATCAATAATCCAGATGAAAGACATTATAAAAGACTATGATACAGTATCAGGATTTAGATTGAACCAGAAAAAAACTAAGATGATAGTTAAAAATATGACACAAGATCGAAAACACGAACTTGAAAGGAGGGCAGGTTTTGAGATTGTACCAAAGGTTAAATATCTAGGAGTTCAGGTTGCAGAATCAAATATGAAATTGTTTCAAAATAATTATGAGGTGTTGTGGCGAGATGTACAGAAAGATATGGAGACTTGGAAAAAACTGCAGCTGTCTTTACTTGGAAGAATAGCAGTAGTTAAGATGAACATTTTGCCAAGATTTCTTTTTTTGTTTCAAATGATTCCGGTGCTTAAAAATGATAAACAACTGAGAGAATGGCAAAGAGGACTGAATAAGTTTGTCTGGAATGAGAAAAAGCCGAGAGTTAAACTGAAAATTATGCAAGATGTTCCAGAAAGGGGAGGCCTTAAACTTCCAAACCTACAATTATATTATGAAGCAGCAGCTTTGACGCAAGCAAGTGATTGGTTTGGAAGGAAAAAGACTGGAATATTGAATATAGAAAGTTTTGATCTTGAATTTGGTTGGCATGCTTACTTATTTTATGAGAACAAAGTGGATAAAGTATTTAAAAGCCACATACTTAGAGACTCTTTGATGAGAGTTTGGAAGAAGCACCGACTCAAATGGGATTACAAAATACCGTTATGGCTGGATCTTGGTCATATCATGTGGAATACAAATATAATGTCACTCGGGGGGGTTTATATAAAGAAGTTCTTTTTACAGATGCGGGCAGATGGCAACTGAAGACTTTAGAAACGCTGTTGGAAGAAGGGATTAATTTAACTTGGTTACAGTATAATCAACTTCAATTGAGATGGAAAGAGAACCAAAAAACTGGTATAATGTTACATGAGGAAGAATTGGTTAGACATATAAAAGAGAAAGGTCCAGTGCATATTAAAAGGGTTTATAATGTTTTGTTAGAAAGGGATTCAGAAACTGAATTGGTTAAAGATTGCATGATAAAGTGGGCACAAAATTTTGCAGAACCAGTGATGTTGGAAACGGGAAAAAATATGGGTTCAGAATGTTAAATTTACACAGTCGTAGAATTTGAGGGAAAATTTTTATAAAATGTTTTATAGATGGCATTTAGATCCTAAGAAATTGTTGTGCATGTACCCTAATGTTCAACCAAAATGCTGGAGATGTGATTGCCTAGATGCCACATATTATCATGGGTGGTGGACTTGTAAGAAAGTGAAGGCTTTTTGGATAAAAATTTGGTGGGTTATGCAGAATGTTTTGAAGAAAAAAATTCAGTTTTCTCCACAATTGTTTTTATTGGGTATAGCTAAGGGTTTTACATTGGGTGAAACAAAGTTGATATTGTATATGGTAACAGCAGCGAGATTACTGATAGGTCAATATTGGAAAAATGAAGCTATGCCTACTATTGATGAATGGACTTTTAAGATGGCCAGCTTTGCAGAGATGGCGAAGATTTCAGCATATTTAAAAGATCGCTCACAAGAGACTTATGTATGGGAGTGGAAAAAGTGGATAGATTATGTGCAGAATAAATATCAAACTAGGAAATATCAGATAGCTTTTAACTGAAAGTATTATATACATATAGAACAATTGAATTTTGTGAAGATGTGAAAAATATATAGGGGGTGGAGGGGTTCAAGTTTTATAAAAAGGGGATTTTGATTTGGATTATATTTTGTGGAAGTCCGGGGGGGAGGGGTGGGCTGGGAGGGGGGTTAGGGAGGGTTGTGGGGGGGAAAATGGGGAGAAAATGTAATTGTAAAACTTTTTCAATAAAAAAAAAAAGATTCATGGAGGCAAAGCACTGATTTTTGGTCTCTAATCCCCCAAAAGAGAGTGACTGACTTGGGTTGCAGTATAGCAATGAGATCATAAAAAATAATAGTACTGCTCTGTATTGCACTAGTCAGATTGCACTTAGAATGTTGTGCCCAATTCTGATTCTCTCAGTATGAGTAGGACACAAAGGAACTAGAAAGAGTGCAGAGAAGATGGAAGAAAATTGTGAGGGGGAGGAGAACTAAAACCCTAAAATACATGGTAAAATAACTTTTAAGCTAAAGTTGAGATTGTTTAGGAGAGACATGATAGCAGTTGTCTAACATTTGAAGAACTGTCATGAGAAGAGGGTATGGATTTATTCTCCATAACATTTGAAGGTAGAATAAAACTGATGGATGGAAGCTAAACATGGAAATGCATACTCAGGAAGATTTTTTTGTTTTATTGTGATAGCTATAAATAATGGAACAGCCTACCTCCTAGAATAGAGTATGGATGTTCCACTATATGAGATTTCCAAACATTAGCTGGATATTCATTTGTCTGGGATGATCTGAGAATTCCTATCATGAGTAGGTGGTTGGGCTAAAAAAGACTTCCAACTTTGTGATTTATAATGTGTTGCACATGTTTCTGACAATAGTTAGAATTGAAGAATCATGTGCATCCACTGGATTAAGAAAAAATTGATATCAAATATGAAATTTGAGCATCTAACATTCTGCATCATTTGTCTACAGATAACTGGCTGGTGGTATAGTGTAAGGACATCTGCATCTCATAGTAGTGCAAGTGGGCACACTGGCCGGGGCAATGGCCAGTCAGAAGTTGCTGCTCATGCTTGTGCAAGTATGTGTGATGAGATGGTGGTTCTTTGGAGACTTGCTGTTTTGGATCCAACCATTAGCCCTCATCGGTAGGTGTAATTCTGAAAGTCCATAACAAAGTTGACCTTGACAAAAGTCTGTTAATAGATATCTGCCTATTATTTTTATTGTAATGTTCATATCCAGTTTTTTTGCTTGATTGCATCTTACTCCAAACATGGATGGGTGTTACATGGTATTGAAATATTCTAAAAACTTCCATGCCAGATTGCCACTTCAACCTGCGCTTTCTTGAATTCATGTTCTAACTATTCGTCCTCAAACACATAGTCATAATGAGTAGTACTGTATTTGCTCTCATGTTTTCTACAAAAAGGTTTGCTTTCTATTTTTCTCAAGTATGTTTTACATTTTTAATTAAAAACACTATCTTACTTTTGAAAACCTATAACTTACAACTAACAGATCAGCAGAGTCTGGATGTGGTCACTTCACAGTCCTGTTATCTTTTTACTAGAAACGCCTACATCTATGAGGTTCTTGGTGCTCTCTGAGCTTGGTTGTTTTTTTTTTTTGTTTTTTTTTTAAATTTGATTTATATGCCGCCCTTCTCCGGAGACTCAGGGTGGCTTACAATGCGTTAAGCAATAGCCTTCATACTTTTGTATATTTATACAAAGTCAGCTTATTGCCCCCACAAACTGTGCCCTCATTTCATCTACCTTAGAAAGGATGGAAGGCTGAGTCAACCTTGAGCCTGGTAAGATTCGAACCTGCAGAAATTGCAGGCAGCTGTGTTAATAACAGGGTGCATTAAACCACTGTACTACCAAGGCTCCTTGCAGACATTTCATTACCCAAAGTACATAACATCATTAATGCTAGTGCATCATCAGACTACATGTATTATCTGCATCTTTTGTCAAAAGATACACACTAATGTACAAAAATGTAGGCATCATGTTCAAATTGTATGTTTCAATGAATTCCTAAGTAAGCAGCAGCTATTACAATTTCGGCAGACTATAGCATTAAGCATGACATTTTTGTTGAAATTTGAATGCATACTTATTTATGTGCATTTATTTGCAAATTCAACTTAAGAAAAAGGCGAATATAGCAGATGCAAAAGTTTGGACACCATTCCAGTCATTATTTTGTAACTCCTCACCTTCTAAATGTTTCCTTTAGGCAGCTAAGGTCTTGCTTGTGGAATTTTTCCCCACTTGTCTTTGCAGAATCCTTCTATGAAATATTCCTAGTTTTCCCAGCATGCATTTCACCACACAGTGAATTGTATTCCTCTACAGATTTTCAGTAATGTTCATATCTGGGGACAGGGCAAGTAAGACAACAATCAGAAAGATACTTCCAAAACAGAGCATGAAGAACTCTTTTAAAAAAAAGATAAGCGTTTTGGAGTGACTTGAACAATCCTCACTTTTCAATTTTGTGAAAATTTGTGGGGCAATATCAAACATGGAGCATATTCAATGGGACCTAAGAATATTTCCCTTGAATTTCTTTGCCAAACACAGTAGACCAGGGGTCCCCAACCTGTGGGCCACAGACCACTAGTGGGCTATGAGGGGTTTGCAACTGGGCTATGGAAAACAGCTGGCAAGTGCACATGCATCCTCACTTATGCGAGCAGCAGACGAGCACAAGGGCTCCATTTAAGTTAACGGCAGGCGCAGATGCACGTCGCTCGCACAAATGGAGCTGCATGCATGCGCTCTTGCCAGCAGCTCACGTGGAACCGTCCCCTCTCCTCCTGCCACAGGTCTGCAAAGCTGGAAATATTGGAGAATTCTGCAATAAACTGTATATAGGCAATTAAATAAACTGCTACTAGGATCGGTGTTAAGAATTTTCATAGGAGCTTTGATTATTTGAGGCTTTTTTCTGTGACAAAAATGAAATTAAGTATTAAGCATATTAGAATATTAGACTTCTGATAAAATGTAAGTGTACTTGATTAACAAGAAATTAAAAGAAATTAGATTTTAGTATTTGCTTTTAATAGGTCACTTTTGCCTCTTACTTGTTTCTTTCCTTCTATACTGCTAGGCGAAGGGACTTGTGCACGCAGCTAAGGCAGTGGCAGTTGAAGGTAATAGAAAATGTCAAAAGAGGGCAGCATAAGAAGTCTCTTGAGAAGTTATTCCATGGATTCAAACCAGCTGTGGAAGCTTGCTACTTCAATTGGGAGGAGGCATATCCTATTCCAGGCATCACCTATAGCAGTGCTGACAAAAAGAACTCCTTTTGTTGGGTTAAGGCCATCCAGCAGAGGAACTGCAGGCCACCGTGTATAGAAAATTTTTCTGATGCAGGGAGAGGCCATGGGACAGATGCTATGGGGACATGTTTGCAGCTAGGAGACAGGTCACGACTTGTCTCTCAGGAGCCAGCTGTGCGCCCCAAAGAACTTATTGGGAAACGGAAAGTTGTGTCTGAAGGCCCCCAGCGGGTTCTGAGAAGACTTTCAGCAGAAGGCGATAAAGCTTCATATAAAACAACTGCGAACAAGGGCAAGCTTCCGGTGGGAAAGAACTTGGCCAGCAAACATGGTGGGAAGCGTCGTATGAGTAGCGAGGACAGTTCTTTGGAGCCGGACTTGGCTGAATTGACTTTAGATGACAGCAGTTTGGCTCTTGGAGCAGAGGCGAGCAATACATTCAGCTTCACAGACAGCCCGTTGAGCAGAAGCTACAGAGATACTTTTGAGGATGATGGTGGAGTGTATTTCTCTGAGGCAACCGAGCCTACCCTCAGAAGCAGTCCTTCCACAAAGAAACTTTCAAAGGAACCCGTGGAGGAAGTGGGCAGTGGAGATGATGACCTCCATGGCCCTGATGAAAGTAGTGCTGGGGTATGTTCAAAGCCAAAAGAGGTGGAGGAAAATGGCGCTGCTGGAGGAGAAGAGGAAGAAGATGATTATCAAGTGTATTATTTAAATCCCCAGGAGGTGGCTAAGGAAGAAGACGAGAAAGCAGAGGGTGGGATTGAAGAGGAACAAGACATGTTTGCTGGAATAAAACCGTTGGAGCAAGAAAACCGAATGGAGGTAGGCCTGTAAGCTCCTGACTCCTCCACCCCCTTTACTTTAGGCTCCTGCAGTATATGTTTCTACTGGGAAGAATGAAAACATTTATCTTATTATGTAACAGTGAAGGACTATTAAACTTGATAACAGCTTTATAAATATTTGTATCAATATTGATAATTTATTCTTCTGTGTGTCAACATTTATCTGTAGCACTTGGTCAAGGAAAAAGGAATAGAATGTAATTCAGGCATATTTTGCATAATAATAATAATACGTAGCATGTCAGCCATTTTGACAAGGCTGTAGAATTAATTAATGAAAGGTGAAAAATTTGGTAGTAGGATACACGTTTAATGCAGAAGTTCTGAATTGCATCCCTTGTATCTGCATTTCCAAATGGATCTTGCATAACTGAACTTCTGCTTAAGATTTTAAACTATCAGTCAAACTCCAAAGCATTGAGCACGTGGATCTTATGAGGCAGCATCATGTGTTTATTTCAGTTTGTTTCTTGCCTCACATGGTAGCCATTGAGTACCTTTCCTGTGTTGGACCTGAAGAGTCACACACTCCAAATGTGGTGCAGGTAGGGGTTGGTAAGGGAGTTCAAGGAATGTTGGGCATTTCTCACAAGTGGCTAGATTTTACTGGGGACTTGGAGAAAGTTGAGGGGTTTTTTTGTGATAAGCTTATTGAAGGACTTAACAAACACTATAGTTGTAATCTATTTCTCACATGGGAATGGCAGTAAGAGTTGCCATGAGTTTCAGCAGTGAAGTTCCTAGGCCCATAAGACTAAGAACTGAGAGCAAAGGAAGCAAGCATTAGACTGGTTTTGCTGCAATTCTCAATTTACAGATCCTGTTTGCCTGCGCAGAGGCTCTTCATGCACATGGCTATAGCAGTGAAGCTTGTCGTCTCACTGTTGAACTTGCAAAAGACTTACTGGCTAACCCTCCGGATCTCAAAGTGGAGCAACCCCCAACCAAGGTATAATACCAATAGAAACATAGTTTAAATGGGAAGACCGGGGTTGGACAACAGCTAGTAGGAGATTTAGATGTGTGTGTTGCTGTGGATAATGTTAATGCTGTAATAAGTATAAACCCTTACTTTGAAGCACCACTTGATAGTTATGGTGTGATATTTTGAGATAATTGACTGCATTCCTTTTGATGTGCATTCCCCATTGTATGTCTTCATCTCTGTTGTAATCCTTTCTCTCCAAATTCCTCACTCTGATGTTGGTGGGGAAACAACAGGTCAGCTGCAGAACAACCTGTACTGACTAGTAATGGTTATCTCCTGCCTTAACCATGGGGTGGAGTGGGGGGGTTAGACTAGAAGACCTCTGAGGTTCCTTCCAGCCCTATGAATCTATGTTTTCTATGTGAAGGCTGACTAGGGGAAAGGATGCATCTTCTGAAGAGCTTTGACTAATTTTTTTTGCCAACTGTTATAGAACGATGTTGTTCAGTGTGGGATAATGGGCTTGAAAGAAACAGAAAGGTGGGAGTAAGAATAGCTGTTGCAGGGGAGCGAAGGAAGCAACTGGACTCCCTCAAGGGTTATGTGTTAGGATTAAAAACAAACAAGAAAAGGTGACGATTATATGATTTTGGATGATAAAGGTACTGAAACATTGAAGGAACTTTTGAATTCTAGTGCAAGATGTGGATTGAACATTAAAACAAATAGCTGAATCAGTAAAAATGCTTTTTGATATAATTTATATCTTTTTATTCCTAAAACATCTATTGGTTAAAGTATATGAGGGTGTGAGGGTAAAGCATTGGAAAGTATAAATCAGAATTCTTCTCTAAAATGGATTGCAAATTTTAGAGAGTTTTTTCCTTAAAATTTATGCTTTATAAATTCAAAGTCACTTTATAAAAAAGAAACATATTTCTTTAATAATGCTGAAACCGAGTTGCATTTTACTTTCAAAATGTTCATGACATAGTGCAAATAAAAACAAATATTATTCCCTCAAATGGTGATTAAAATTATATAGCATTCTTTGCTATACTTTATAAAGTTCCTATTAGTTCATTTCATTTTATGTATGGATTTTTCCTCACATAACTTTCTTCGGATGGGTCTAGACTGAAATTACCCTGATAGACTACAACTGTAGTCAGTAGAACTTCAGCTGAGACTAGGAAATCAAATTTGTATTTTAATATGAATGAAGCTAATTACTCGGTTGTAGTTGCTCTGTATTTTGAAATGCACTTATTATAATATGCATGTCATATGTACGTTAAAGATGTGTAAAAGGGTAAAGAATTCCCTTAAATCAAGCTAAACAACATGGAAAAACGCAATTGCTTTTCTTGTTAAATGTTCTTCCAGTTTCCTAGTGTTATCGGTAGTGGGGATATCCTGATCGTCTCCCCTTCAGCTCTGTTGCCTAATCCTGCTCAGCCAAGAGGAGTTAGCTGCAGCTATGACTTGGCATATATTAAGGAAAAGGACTGGCAAGAACCCACATTTTTATACATCTAAAATGGCATATAATTGAAATCAGTTCCTAGGCGTGCTTATTATTTGTAAATAGTTTTTTTTTATAGAATTGAGTGCAGAAAAATTCACATTCAGCCTTCTAATTCTCCAACCCATAGGGAAAGAAAAACAAAGTATCTACCAGCAAACAGACTTGGATGGCAACAAACACTTTATCCAAAGCCGCTTTTCTGCTGACTGTACTGAGTGAGCGGCAGGAATATCACAATCTGGCTTTCCAGATTGGCATGTTTGCTCTGGAGTTACAGAGGCCGCCAGCATCTACCAAGGCCCTGGAGGTATGTATAGGATGGCTTTGGTGCCTTCTTTAGCACTTCCATGGGAGGGGAGAATCTTATTATTTCATTCAGAAAACTGACTGAGGTTTTGGTTTTGCACCTCTAGCTCTTGGTTCAAATTGTTTGGCTGAAATAAGTTCCCCTAAACTCTAGATAAAAAACTAGTATACAATTGTAATAGTGTTACAACAGGATGACTTTTTTTTACAGCCCACAGTGATACAGTAGTCCTTAACTTATCTGGGTCTGGAAAATTTATTTTCAAAGAGAGTGGTCATTAAATGAGACATCACATGACTGTGACCCATGACCACCTCTGCCACCTTCCCCATTGAATTTGCTTGTCAGCAAATGGCAATCACATAACTGCAGGATAATGCAGTTGTCATAAATGCAAGCCAGTTGCCAAATGATCAACCATCACATGATCGCAGGGACACTGTGATGGTTGTAACTGTGAGGTCCAGCCATAAGTTACTTTTTATAGTGCTGTCAAACAATTGCTAAATCATAAATCAAGGACTACCTGTATTGGTTTTGGTAGAATCTGCTAGCTGGTTATTTTGTTTACTTTCCAAAATGTGCAGTTCCAGATGCATATTCTTCACAGACTTACATAGACTTTTATATGGCTGTGCAGAGGATCAAGGATTGAGTTTTGTCCCCAAAGTTAGGGAATTTCTTGGCAGCCTTCACTGGATAAAAACAACCCTCTCAGCCTGACGCAAAGATTCTTATGCATCACTACAAAGCATTTTTTCTTAATGTTATTATCCAGTCTTTGTGTACAATAATGTGTTGTTAAAATAAAAGCCTTGTGCATATTTCTCCCTGATCCATATCACACAGGTCAAGCTGGCATACCAGGAATCTGAGATCGTGGCCTTGTTGAAGAAGATCCCACTTGGCTCTAGCGAGATGAATACTATTCGGGGGAGGGCTGAAGAGCTGAGGGAAGGAACACTGTGTGATTACCGCCCTGTCCTGCCTCTCATGCTAGCTAGCTTCATATTTGATGTCTTATGTGCTCCAGGTAAAACCCCTGAATATTTACCCAAAGAGAAAGCCCCTTGAGGAAAGGTTTGCTCGTCCCTCTACACCAGAGGTTTTCAAACTTGGCAGCTTTAAGACTTGTGGACCAGCTCCCAGAATTCTCCAGCCTGCATAGCTGGATGGAGAATTCTGGGAGTTGAAATCCACAAGTCTTAAAGCTGTCAAGTTTGGGGACCCCTGCTCTACACTTTCAGTGCAATTTCCACAGTCCATTCATTGATGTCTATTGCTTCATGTGCCCTTGAGAACTTCTGTAAGGTTAAAAAAATATACCTGCTACACTTGGTTTAGCTCAAGTGCTCACATATGAAGGAGCTGTGGAGGTCCTGAGCTTAGCCTTAATCACAAAGCCTGGCGTATGCAGTTAGCCTATTTGAATAGGGGATTGTTAGTCAGGCTCTAAAACTTCATTAACTATGTCCTAATATTACCAACAGACAGCCCTCTTATAAATTACTCTCCAGAAACTTTGGGGTACAAACTAATTTATCCCTGTTGCTGGCCTGAATCTAATGGGAGTCAAAGTATTCAGTGGGTACCAGGGGAGACAAGGTTGCTCTAATTTATAGCTGTTACGCCCAGCTTCTTAAAGCAGATGGTCAGTTTTGGTGACTACTTGCTGAATGTCTACTACAGTTTTTTTTCCAGATAAAGCACCAAATCTAAGACCATGTTTTACAGCTCTGAGGAAGTCAGAGCAATGCACTCTTCCTTGTGATGACTGCAACCCTCTTTTCATTCTGAATTACCAGCTGTGTCATGTGTTAAATTACAATTAGAGTTGTAGGAAAAATGTTTTCAGGAGGATAAAGTGTCTCAATATGATACTGAAGAAAATTTGATCATCCTGGTTTAAATGTAGCGATATTGTACAAGTTGTTAAAATACAATATTTGCACTGGTTTTTTCTTTACCAGTCCTGGCAATGTTTATTCTCTGTAGAGCTAATTAATATCTCTGTTCCTGTCCTAGTGGTTTCTCCTACAGGATCAAGACCCCCAAGCCGTAATTGGAACAATGAAATGCCTGGAGATGAAGAACTTGGCTTTGAGGCAGCCGTGGCAGCACTTGGTAAGTCTTAGTTTTTTTCCCCTCCTGTTGTGTCCCGCCAGCGGCCTGCGTGGATCGTGGCTGATCCCGACGACAAGGAGGCTGGTGTGGGGTCACGCCAGCAGCCTGAGCAGCCGGCACTCGTGTCGGACAGCAAGGAGGCTGATAGGATGTGGTGCCAAAGGCAGAGACTCAGCCAGGGCCTTCAGAACCTCCAGAGGCTCCTTCAAGTGGAGAGAGCGAAGTGGAGGAGCCTCTCCTCAATGCTCGAGCACGCAGGGCTGCCAAAAGGCAGGAGTGGCTACTCAGGAGGCGGAGGTCTCCTCGAGAGTAAGGTTTGAGGATAATTGGCCACTCCCTTAGCCTATTTAAGTCGCACGCAGTTAATAATTTCTTGCTGGAAACAACGTGTAATTATTAAAGAGCAGTTTGGATAGTGAGTGTCTTACTGTATTTTGTTTTCTGGGCTGGTTGCCAACCTTTGCCGGACTTTGTTTATTCTTGGTACATTATAACTTTGATAAGGACCATTGGTGTGTGTCACAATCCTTGGGAATCTGGAGCTGGGGCAGAACACCTCCACAATTGCTCCTATAATTTTAAAAGAGATCCTGCCCATGTCATGTAGTAATTCTTGCATCACCTAAATAGAATTGAAATAATGGAAACCCGGGCACCAGAAGCAGATACTCTTTTTAAATGAAATCTTAGGAGAAAATGCCTTGCCCTCGTAGGAATCTTCTCGTATTTACCTAAAGTAGGACAACATCCTTGGATTCTGTTTTGCAGGCATGAAGACAACAGTGAGTGAAGCAGAGCACCCTCTTCTGTGTGAAGGTACTCGAAGAGAGAAAGGAGATCTAGCCTTAGCCCTGATGATCACTTACAAGGATGATCAGTCTAAACTCAAAAAAGTAAGTTATTTTTAGAAATGTTTACAAATGGAACATCTTTCGTTCATTTTTAAATAACTAAGCTTTTCAGAGTTTTCTTGGAAACTAACTTTCGCAAGACTTTTCAAGATTTACAATTTTTTATTTTTTATTTTATAAAATTTGTATGCCACCCTATCTCCAAGGACTCAGGACAGCTCACAACGACAGTCGATCAAGCGACCAAAACAACGAATATACATAAAAATCAAGGAAGTTTTTTTAAAAATTTTTTAAAATATAAATATACTAAAATATACTACCCCATCAGTCCAGGCCAGGGGACATAAATAGGCAGGTTTTCAATTCACTGCGGAAGGTGCGAAGGTCGGGGGCCAACCGGGGCCCCAAGGGAAGTTGATTCCAAAGGGTGGGGGTGCTCTAGAGAAGGCTCTACCCCTCGGAGTCGCCAGCCGACATTGTCTAGCCGACGGCACCCTGAGTAGGCCCTCTCTGTGAGAGCGCACCGGGCGATGGGAAGTTGACGCTGGTTGCAGGTGGTCCGGCAAATAACCTGGGCCTAAGCCATGAAGGGCTTTATAGGTTTACACCAGCACCTTGAATCTCACCCGGAGGTGAGACCAATGCAAGCCGCGCAGGAGTGGTGTAATATGGGAGTATCAGGTCCCTCCCGCAACAACCCGCGCGGCCGCATTCTGTGCCAGCTGAAGCCTCCGGGTGGTCTTCACGGGCAGCCCCAGGTAGAGAACATTGCAGTAGTCGATCCGGGAGGTGACTAGCGCATGAGTGACTGTGTGTAGGGCATCTCGGTCCAAGTATGGGCACAACTGGCGCACCAGGCGAACCTGGGCAATACCGTTTGATCATGTGTACGTGTGAGAGAGATAGTCTAATCAGGGTGGATGCTGTGTGAGTTGCCCCTTTGTGTTTCCCTATAATGCACCTGTATCTTTCTGTGTGCATGTGTGTATTGGGAAGCATGGGGTGAAAAATATATACTCTACTTTAATCATGAGACCACGAAAAGGGTGCTTAGAACAGAAGACTTAGCAACTGCTGCTGAACTTGTGGCCCAAATAATGTCTTTGCAGTCTTTTCCAACCATCAGATTGGTTTGGCTTATGTTTCTTTTACTTTTTTCCCCACTATGCCCAAAAGTTATCCTGTCGAATGGAATGGAATAACTTTATTGTCACTTTGAATGTATGCTTATGGGCATACATTAAAATGAAATTTCGTTGCATACAGCTCTCAAAGAGTCAGCACCTCCAATATACACTATATAACATGACAGAATAAATAAACACAAAATTATGCATATACCCACATATATTATATGACACAGAGAAACAACACAGTCTAGTTCAGATGTATACATGTACATGGCGAGAAAAACAAATCTTTTTTTAAAAAATAATTTTTATTAATATATTCTATGCATCAATACACAAATGAAATATACAATCCTGCCACCATGGTGTAATGTGAGTACATTGTCCATAAATATAAAGTCATTCCTTTATACATACATACTTGCCATCATATATATACATCATCATAATATATCTATTCTATCCCACCTTTTCTGGACCCAATCCTACCATAATTTCCAACTGTTATAAAATTCTGAATCTTTTTTACCATTGATCAATCTAGTTAATCTATCTGATTCCGCCCACTCATTAATTTTATATATTATTTTCAAATCCATCGGTAAATATTGATTGTTCCACTCCTGCGCATACGCTAATCTTGCTGCCGTAATAATGTGAATCAACAAGAACCATATACCTGATTTAACATTCAAAGGTTTTGCCCCCAACAGGAAAATCTCAGGCCTTAATTCCAAATTGATTTGTGTAATTTCCAAAATCCATTACTGTATTTTTTTCCAATATTTAACCGCCTGCGGGCAAGTCCACCACTGATGAAAATAAGTTCCATTACTGTAACCACATTTCCAACAGCAGGAAGATGTCCCGGGGAACATTTTAGCTAGTCTCGCAGGGGGAAGATGCCAGCGGTAGACCGTTTTATATGTTTTCTTTGTATGAAGAGGCCATGGTTAATTTCATATTTTTCAACCAAATCTGTTCCCATTGCTGGAAGTCAAGGGGATATCCAAAATTTCGCCCCCACACTATCATACAATCCTTCACTACATCCTGTCCTATCTGCAGAGACAATAAATATGCGTAACATTTAGATAGTACCCCTTTCCCTCCTTCTAATAAGATCTTATCCAATTTTTGTCTTTTACGGTAAATTCCTTCGCTATATAAATCTTTTTTATACCTGGAGTGCACTTGGGAATAAGACCACCAGTCTATCTTATATCCTTGAAGAGTGACTTCGGATTACCCTGAACATCCAAAAAGACTTCATATGTCAAAGTTTTCCCACCTTTATACAATGTCGGGTAGATCTGAGCTTCCTGCGCCGAAATCCAACATGGAACTTTTGAATATACTCTTCTTCTAATCTTTCCCAAGTGTACCCAAGAGTCCTATGTAAATAGTGATCATCAAAGTGTCTGGGGCGGCCGGATGCTCCCGGCCATAGAAAATAGTGCCAGCCATGTTGAAGACCGGCTCCCTCAAATGTCAAAGGTTGTCTCTTTTGTAGGATCATCCATTCTTTCACCCAAATCAAGTTTGCTGCTTGGTAATAGAGCTCCCAATTCGGGAGTCCAAGTCCGCCTCTGTTTTTGGGTTCTTGTAACATTTTAAGTCTAATCCATGGCTTCTTTCCCTGCCAGATAAACTTGGATATACTCCTATCCAAATTTGTAAAAAATTCTTTATTCAACTTTACCGGGGCTGTTTGGAATAGAAATAGCCATTTGGGTAACACGCACATCTTAATGGTTGCCACCCTTCCCAAAATAGATAGCTGGAGATTTTTCCATCTTTCTAGATCTCTGAGCATCTGGTTGTAAAGAGGAAGATAGTTATCCTCCTTTAAGGAGGAGCATCTGGCAGTCAACCATATACCCAGATACTTAATTTTATTTGTCATTCTTAAACCCGTTAACTGCTCCAGCTGTTGCCTTTGCATCTGAGTCATATTCTTCGCTAGGATTTTAGTTTTTTCTTCATTCATCAATAATCCCGCTACCTTCCCATACTCTCTAATCAAGCGTAATAATTTCAGGCCCGAGGCCAGTGGTTGATCCAAAATAAATACAAGATCGTCTGCATAAGCCTGGACTTTAACTTCCTCCTGCCTAATCTTCATTCCTCTTATTTCCGTATTTCCTCTCACTTCTCTAAGCAGGGGCTCTAAAGTCAATACAAATAGCAATGGGGAAAGGGGACATCCCTGTCTTGTACCTCTACAAATTTGAATCCTCTCCGTTTCCTCTCCATCTATCTGCTCCCGGTAGATAGCTCGAATTGCCCAAATAAAATTCCCACCAAACCCCATATATTCTAATTGAGAAATCATAAATTCCCAACTGATTCTGTCAAATGCCTTTTGGGCGTCAACAAAAATTAAAGCTAATTGTTTATCCGGGCGATTTTCGAAAAATTCTAATGTATTCATGATAATTCTAAGATTATCTCGTAAGTATCTATTAGGAAGGAAGCCGTTTTGGTCTGAATGAATGAATTGGTTAAGGAAACAGCTAAGCCTGGCTGCAAGGACCCCCCCCGCAAGTATCTTATAATCTGAATTTAGTAATGATATAGGTCTATAATTCTTAATAAGGGATAGGTCAGTTCCTTCTTTTGGAATAATAGAAATATAAGCCTCAGTCCAAGATACTGGAACCTGAGCCTCTTTCATAACCGCATTGAATAAATCCGTCATGTGTTTCCCTACAATGTCAAACACTATTTTGTATAGTTCAACTGGAAGGCCATCTCTACCCGGGATTTTGCCATTCGCCTGTGCTTTCATAACTGTTTCTACTTCCTCCATCGTAAATTCCGCATTAAGAATATCCTTCATTGTTTCCGAGACTTTAGGCAAGTCTGTCTTTTCCAAATATTTCCGAATTTCACAAATATTTTCCTCCCCTTTCTAATGAAGCTGTGTGAAAAATTCCTGGGCTACCATTCTCTTGCCTTCCTTAGTTCAATGAAGATTCCCAATTACATCTTTCAACCCTTCTATTCTCCGTTGTTCCTGCTCCTTCCTAAACCGGTAAGCCAACCATCTTCCTGTTTTGTTTGCCCTTTCAAAAAAATTTTGTTTAGTCCACTTTATTTTATTTGCTAATTCCTCTTGATCTAATAATTTAATCTGGTGTTGCCAGAAATCCCTTTCCTCTATAAATGTTGTCTGGGTTAATCCATTTTGCATCCTTTCTTCCACCCGTTGTAATTTATTCAAGAGATTGTCTCTGTGTTTCTTACCGGCCCTACATTTATCAATCATGTATTTGATTAACCATCCCCTCATCACTGCCTTAGCCATATCCCATGTATTGTATATTGAAGTATCCTCTTTCTTATTTTCCTGAAAAAAAAGATGTAACTCCTTCTTAAATTTACTCATAAATTCTTCATCTCTCAAAATACCTGTATTCATTCTCCATCTACCCTTCCTTCAATGTGGGATCTTCCAAGTTACCATTAGCTGGTTATGGTCTGCCCACTGGTTGGGCCCTATTTCCACTTCCGAGACCAACCCCTTCAACTCAAGAGACATCCATATCATATCTATTCGGGTCCACGAGTGGTGTCTAGGAGAGAAATAAGTATATTGATTTTTATTGGGATTTCTCAACCTCCATATATCCTGCAATCCAAATTCCTCCCTTAAATCATTACATATTTTTGGTAATGTTCTCTTAATATCCTTCAACCCTCCTTGTATATTTCCCGGGACATAATCCTGCATTCTATCCGTTACAGCATTGAAATCCCCCACTAAACAGACATGTTCGTATTCCAGTTCCCCCAGTTTAACATATAAGTTTTGATAAAAAGTCCTCCGATTGTCATTAGGGGCATAAATACAAACCAATAAAGACTTTCACTGGGCAATTTCTATTTTGAGCATAAGAACCCGGC